ATTAAATCGCTCAAGGATTGAAAAGATTTCATTTTTAAAAGACATGGATCTCATACCCCCTTGGTGCTCATAATAAAAGAATGACTTATTAAAGAAACTGGGCCGCTAATATAAGAATGCATCCAAGGATAAAGGTCGCAACACTTGACAAAGAGTTTGAGTGTAAGATCCATCATGTTGGAGAGGAATAACCTAACAGATTGTTTGACTCCTATAAGACATGCATTCCCTTACAAACAACCATGGATGCATGTGAGAGTTATGGGCACACATGCACATGCCTAACATAGGTACCAAGGCCTGCAGTTGTTTGATCCTGTTTGGTGGCTCTCTTTCATGAAAAGCACAAGGGCATTTTGAGTAGTCATGTTCATCTGAAGAGTATTTATGTTCTCTTTATGATATGATGCTTGTAAGCTTTACCAATTCATTGACCATTTTTTATTCTGTAGGCTTAAAATGGCTTATCCTTTTCCTGCTTTGATTCTATCATTCTACTGACGAAAAAACATTGTCCTTCCGTACTACGACTATCAAAAGAGAGAGAGAAAAAAAGAAGCTTCTCTTTCTAGTGCTAGAAAAGATTCCTCAGCTTTGTATAAAATTATATGCTAGTTATATTTGAGATTATGAATCATTTCTCTACATTAATATAATATAAAATGGTCTATCTGAAGCTCTTACCTAGAGTTCTGTATTTGATAGGAAATGGCCATATTGGGCACTGCAACCAGGGAAACAACATGTACCTTTTTCCGGGGTTAGTTGTCCACTTTCTCTTTTCTAAAGGAATGCGGATCTAATTTAACTGTTTCAGTTGTGATATTGTATGATTATAAATGCATCTTTTCTCATGCAGCATTGGACTTGGTACTCTTTTATCTGGCGCCAGAATCATCTCTGATGGCATGTTACAGGCTGCAGCAGAGTGGTATTTCTCATAAACTTCATCAATAACTTTTACTGGATGGACATTTCAACAGTTCTGTTTGTCTTAAAAAAGAATTTCAGAATCTATGCATTTTATTTATTGTCCTTGAATAATCTGTTATGATCAATAAGATATCTTGACCCAAACGAATTATCTGGTAAACTGTGTTAATAATCAATTGGAGAAGGTGCTCTGAGCCTTCCCTGAAATAATACTCTCCTGTATACTTTTTTAAAGTCAATATGTTATCACGTGAATTAATCTCGGATTTGTAATTGGTTGCTTACCCAAACTTTAGTTGTAATATACACATGCATATTGTAACTGTCATTGACAACAAGTGGGAGAAAATGTTGAGGATAAGGTGGCTCTCTCTCATACAGAAACTGTATTTGGATCAGGGAATTCTAAGTATAAGGTAGTAACTGTATGAAACTAGACATATATGGAGGAAAAGTGGGGGAATCTGCTTATTATTGTAGTACAGATTACCATTACTGATTTATGATTGTCTGCACTTTTTTTTCGGAGAGTGCATTTGAATAATTCAACTTTCTAAAATATATTCTAGAGTGGAAGATTATGCTTTAGGCTCTTCTAAGTTCTAACAGTCAAATTGAAAACAGCCTTGCAGCATATATGACAGACGAGGAGGTTCTTAAAGGGGTTATATACCCTTCTATATCTAGGTACAAAATGGCCTTTATTATTTCTTATTGTGTCCTTTCCCCTGCATTTATCTTTATTTGATATTAAAAGGATTTATACTCAAGCTGTTATGCATGTCTATAAACCCGGTTCATATTTGCAGCATACGTGATATTACAAAGCAGGTGGCTGCAGCTGTGATAAAGGAAGCTATAGAGGAGGATCTAGCAGAAGGGTACCGTGAAATGGATTCTCGAGAGCTTCGGAAACTTAGTCAGGTATATCTGGTTTGCACTTCTATTGCTTTGTCGGATGATATTGATAATGGAATATATTGAAAAGATTAACTGTTAGCAGTGAGAGTATTAAAAAAGGAAGAAGATGGATTAACCATCTCATCTATGGCATGACGATCCCTTCTGCATATATTTGACAAGAATGCTTTGAACCCATATTATTTTAATTACCGTGACGATTTAATGTAGCATAAATTTATTTTCTTGAAAATTTTGTTACACTGCTAGCATTTATAAGTTTGTGTAGAAGTCAAATTCATAAAGTGTTCCCAGACAAAGTTTCCATCTTATTTTCTGATCAGTCAAATTCGTAAGAGAAACGTTTATATCCAAATCTGAAACTACTTTCATGAATATATTCATAAGATATCATGAATGTCTTTGCTTCTTTAAACATCAGTGGTTCTGGAATTGCCATGGTCATTGATAAAATTTTGGATTGCAGGAAGAAATCAAAGAGTATGTGCAGAACAGCATGTGGAGTCCAGAATACCCTACGCTAGTTTTCAGGAAGGAATGATCACGTGTAGACGAGAAGTCAATAATATAAGTGTTGTATCTATCGATTCTTTTAGTCAAAATTACACGTTTTGTCATGTTGCTCTTCAATTTTGAGCAGGTATCCCAGAAACTCTATGATGTTATAGTTGTTCTTGTGGCAGAGAGAATTTATTCATAAATAAACGAAATTTCAAACGATAAAATTGAAGCATAGTTGAGAAAATTTCTTACAGTGGAAGATGGAGAGGAATGATGTCAAATTTGAATGGCTTAGGAATTTTAATTTTTGGTATTGAACGGTTGATATCAGTATGCCGGATGAATGAAACATAATAACAAATGGTGATAATTAATAAGAAAATATAAGTGTCAAGATGATTTGGTTCGGTATTGGTTTCAAAGGCCAAATCAAACTGAACCAAACTAATTGTGGTTCAGTTCGGTGTGATCTAAGATTTCACTGTTTAGTGTAAAAATTGACCCTAGTTACTTTTATCAATTTGGTTTGAACAGTTCGGATGGTTTTTTGCCCATACCCTCCATGGTAGTGGACATACGAGAAAATGTAGATATTTTCTTACCATTTTTGCGTGGTTTTCGTCTTTTTTCTTTTATTTTAGAGGACTACATGAACTGAAAGATGAGTTAGGCACTAAAATCTAACTCGTGGAAAAGCTCAGGAAGACTTGCTCCAAATCAACCTTTGATTTTTCTTTTTGTGTATAAGCAGATCCGAGCGAGTAGCCATGTGGAGCTGCACAAGCGAGTGAATGACAGCACCTAAAGTGGGCTTCAGCTTTCCACGTAACGAGCCCCGCTTGGTTTCAATGGCTTCACCCAGAGCTCTATATACATGGAGGTCGATGCAACCCTCCGCCCAGACTTGGGTTTTTAAATACCCAACTTGCTTCTATTGGGGATGACTTTTGACCCCATGTGCTACCTTTCAGAGCTCAACAATGGTGCAGCCCCATTTAGAGCGTCCATTGGGCTTGCTCTTAAGTAACAGAAAAGACTAAACTTGGGTATATGGTCAAATTGAAGAATTGCATGAACTAAAAATTGAGAGATTCATGACCTATTGCTCAGAAGTAATCTTTTTATTTATTTATTATGAATATTGACACTGGATTAGAGTACTCTTGAGATGCGAATAAAAACTATACAAGCATATTCTTAGAAAGAATTTTTTTCTAAATATATATTTACAAAGTTATTTTACAACGAGATATTCATTCATACAAAGCCATTTTTACAATGGGATATTCACATATAACAAAGCTAGGTCACCACATCGAGCTAGTCATAGTTAAATATCAAACTCACCACTATATATATCGTTGTCTCATTGACATGGTCAAATTTCATCTGTATCTTTGTCTGGGGATGACCTAATTATAACTTAACTTAGCTGCTTAAAAAAAACACTTATGGCTTCACTTTTCATTCCAATTTATAAAGCTATGAAGAGTTTCATAACTTATATGACCTGCTCATACTATAAATAAACAAATGTAATAATATTTACTTTATTCAAACTAGACCCTTGGCACATGCTTATGCATGTGCCAATTGGTTTTCTATTTTATTTTATTTTTAGAATTAAGAAAATATAACATGGATAGTTATTTTTCATAAAAATATGACCTATTTATCTAATTTGTTTTTAATTTTAATTTTTTTAAATATGAAAATGTGAATTTACCATATTATCTTCATTTAATTAATAATTTCAATTCTTAATGTTTGAATTAACCAAGGGCATTTTTTGATATCTTGAATGTTTCACCATTCTCTGCCTCTTGCTTTATATATATAGATTTAGATCCGTTTTCAACTTTATGACGTTCTAAACTTTCATGTATTGAGATATATATTTTAAATTAAAAGAAAATTTCATTAGATAAACTTCAACGATATACTAAAAATATCAACCAATTCTAAGAAAGTAACAAACTTACATACTAAAATCAAAATTAAAGCCGACAATGAACAAAATTTCATTAAATTATATTTGTGATCTACGATCTAAAACCTATATTATCCTTCAACACAACAAAATGAATTGCCATGTTAAATTCGTTAATTTAATTTCCAAAAATAATATTTTATTAGTTGTTTGTTTGGTCCTCGAGCGCCGAACGAACCATCCAACTCCAAATCCCAGCCGCCAAACCATTTCCTACCAACAGGGATGGTGGGACCCCCCCGCTTTTTTATTAAACTAAAAACACTCCAGAAAGATGGAAAATTCAAATTTCAAAATTTGAACGCGTCGTTTATTACTAGCAGAGGCCCAACGTGTGGGGCCCGCCATTTTCCCAAACGGTGCACATTCGACCCGAAAGCATATTCATATAATTCAACCTCGTGACTCTGACGCTTGTCCAAAAACTGTTACAGAGAGAGAGAAAGAGGAAAGAAGAAAGAAGAAAGAAGAAAGAAGGAGAACTAATATTTGACCATTCGAGATTTCAGAGGGGTTTTTATTTTGCGTCTTTCCGACTTCCAAGTCAAGCTTCTTTGCTGCTGCTGCTGCTTTGTTCGTTTGTTGTTTACTTTTCTTAATTGTTAAGGAGGAAGAGAGATTAGGGTTTTGGATCGGAGAGAGAGAGAGAGCTGAGATGACGACGATGGAGAGCTTGATCGGGTTGGTGAATAGGATACAGAGGGCGTGTACTGTGCTGGGTGACTATGGAGGCAGTGATAGTTCTTTCTCTTTGTGGGAAGCTTTGCCCTCTGTTGCCGTCGTCGGTGGCCAGGTCTGTCTCTCCCCTCACCGCCTTTGAATCATTTTGTCCCATTTTTTATGATCTTTGTTTGTTAAAGAGGGTTTTAGGTAGAAAAAGTGAGAAAGGATGAGACTTTTTTGGTAGATATTGATTGGAATTACTTTCAGTGATTAAAAAAAAAGAAGAATATTGGTTTAAGAGACAAAGTGGAACTGATGTTCTTTTTATTATTGTTGTTTTTTAAACATTTGGTTTTATTTATTTAATTTTTTTATTTTTGGAATGAGAACAGAGTTCGGGGAAGTCTTCGGTTTTGGAGAGCATTGTTGGGCGTGACTTTCTCCCCAGAGGATCAGGTTGATTTAAAGCTTTGAGTTTATTTCACAATGTTTATTTCTTCTTTCTTGGTTTTCTATCTTTGATTATGCATTGTTTCTTAAATAATTGCAGGGATTGTGACGAGGCGGCCTTTGGTGTTGCAGCTCCACAAGACAGATGAAGGAACCCAGGAGTATGCCGAGTTCCTTCACCTCCCCAAGAGAAGATTCACTGATTTTGGTATGTAAATGATCTCCCTATGTTACCTGTATAGATGCGAATGTAGGTTTCTTTCACTTAATATAAGTGTAAGATTGATTATTTCTAGCTAATAAATGATGGATTTTACACAACTGTGTTGTTCACGTTCAGCTCATAGAGAAAAGTAGTTCTCCATTTGATCACCTTATTTGTAGTAAAGCTGCAAATTTTGACGTCTGAGCATTTATAATTGGCCCACCTACTGAAATCTGTTGAGCACCTCTAATGATTCATTTATTTAAGTTTAGGTAAAAGCAAACTGTCAATCTGATTACATTGGGAGACAAATAGATTCACATTACAGATCAATTTTGAAATTATTTGAAATGAAGGTTTGGTTAATCTTTCAGTTGGGATTTTTAATGAGCTTGTCTGCCGATTGATAATTATTTTTTGTTGTTTGTTTAATAGTAACTCATGCACATGCTCTTGATATGGCATTTTGCTATCTTGACCTGACAGTGTCTATTGCTTTATTGCAAGAAACTGACACCCAAAACTGATATGTACTCGTCTTTCTGCAGCCATGGTTCGAAAGGAAATTCAGGATGAAACTGATAGAATAACAGGAAAGTCAAAACAGATATCTCCTGTTCCCATCCATCTCAGCATCTACTCCCCAAATGGTATGTTACTAATACTGTTTTTTCAAAAGTTTATTTATTATGTAATGTTTTAATACACTCACCGGAACCTTGTCGTCCAAGCAACAAGCTGTAAATTTTCAAAGCCTTGCAGCAGTTAGCATCACTCTTTTGTGTGTGTGTCTTGTGGGTTAATTTTGTATTGCAATTTATCATCTTTGTGCTTATGCTTTGTTGTAGCTCCTAGCAGTAATTGGTAATTGTAATTGGCTCAGATGATTATTTCACATATGCACTCCTAAAAATGTAACTTAAAAAGAGACTCCTTCACGAAATTTTGAGGCTGTCACAGTTCCTAAGCGTAATATGTTTTTATGTGAGACGAAAATATATATGTAAATTCGGATGATCTTTGCTAATAAAGTGATCTAGTTTTGGCACCCCTTTGATAACTCTTAGGTATTACTTCTTCTAATCTTTTTTCTCTTGCATTAATGTCACTTTTCATGGTTCATCTATGTTCTTTTGTGGCATAAGAGAGGGAGGAATATTGGAGTTTCATTTTACATTATCAAATTGTTGTATTTCTTTTGCTTACACTAATTCTTGATCTCCTTTGTTTGGCAGTTGTCAACTTAACCCTAATTGATTTACCCGGTTTGACGAAAGTTGCTGTTGGTATGTTTTATTTCCAATGCTGATTGTGTGTTGAATTGCATGATGCGATTTTATTTGTCAGTCACCAACCAAGACGGTTATTCTTTTCAGAGGGCCAGCCTGAAAGTATTGTTGAAGATATTGAAAATATGGTTCGATCTTATGTTGAGAAGGTAATGAATCATTATGAAATCATAAACATGCACAAACACCTACATTCAGGAATTGACATTCAGGGAGTTTTGAAGTCACTGACTTGTTGCCAAATGCACAGAAATATTGATGTCCAATGATATGATTGAAATATGTTATAATTAACAAAAATTGTTGGTCTTTCTCACTTCCAACTAGCCTTGTCAAAAGCTATACTTGTTTTGTGTTTCAGTTTTATAAAGTCAAGCTTGAATTTTGTCCATCTGTCACTGCTTTTAGTAACTGTTGCAAATAGTAATGTATATATTTTTTTTGGGTGGCATTTGTAGCATCTCATGCACCTTCAGGAGTGAGATCCTGTTTTGCAGGAATGTGATGCCACTCGATCAACAGGCCTCTCGCATTCCACAAAACAGGATCCTGCTCGTGAAGTTTTTATGTAGTTTCTCTACATCCATTACAGAGTTAACCATTTCTCTTTTCCTATGATGAAGGTCACTTGACTTCTAATTGATGAGTTTGTGCTTATTGTAGCCTAATAGCATCATACTAGCAATATCTCCAGCCAACCAAGATATAGCCACATCTGATGCTATCAAACTTGCTAGGGAAGTGGATCCAACAGGTATGCTCTATTTATTCCTGAGTGTAGCCATTTCCCTCTTTTGACTTGTGCTATTACTTAATTTTGTCTTCTCTTACATCATTCTCGTTATAACTTGCAGGTGAACGAACATTTGGGGTGTTGACAAAGCTTGATTTGATGGACAAAGGAACTAACGCATTGGATGTATGATCTCTCTCTCTCTCTCTCTCTCTCTCTCTCTCTCTCTCACTATAAAGCTCAGTCCTATGTAAATGGTATTTGACTGAGCAAGCTTTCTGGTGAAATACATTAAAATTTTCAAATAGATGAGACTGGGCCTTTAGCATTCAAAATACAGCAGTTTTCAAACATATTAAAGTGATCTATTTTTTAATTATATAAAATTTTATGGAAGTGACCCTTAAAACTCTGCTCTGGTTTTCTTTACATTTTACTATGCTTGAGACTTGATACCCTTCGCACTCGGTGTTTGAACCTAGAACAAAAAAAAAGTACAGAATTTGTTCTTTAATCTCTTATATCTCTGTCCACGAAGGTTATTGAAGGAAGATCTTATCGCCTGCAACATCCTTGGGTTGGAGTTGTCAACCGTTCACAAGCAGATATTAATAAAAACACTGACATGGTTCTTGCGAGGCGAAAAGAGCGTGAATACTTTGCAACCAGTGCCGACTATGGGCACTTAGCTAGTAGAATGGGTTCTGAGTATCTTGCAAAACTTCTCTCGAAGGTTAGTATAAAATATGTTTGTTGCAATGGAAAATATTGCTCGAAATAGGGATCATTATCCGTTGCTTGAAATAGGGTATCTTTTTTTGTTGCTTGACAAAAGGTTGATGGGTTGATATTGTTTATAGCACTTGGAGTCTGTGATTAGGGCTCGAATTCCAAGTATCACATCTATGATTAACAAAAGCATTGATGAACTTGAATCGGAGATGGACCATCTCGGTAGGCCTATTGCCGTTGATGCTGGGGTGAGCTGTCTTTATCTTCTGCACTTGATCATAAATAAAATGATTTTTGGGCAATCATGAGTTAGTAACCAAGAGTTTGTATTTTAGGCTCAATTATACACTATCCTGGAACTTTGCCGTGCATTTGACCGGATTTTCAAGGAGCATTTAGATGGAGGGTAAGACAAGATCTATTTATTAAAACTTCGTCTCATCAATGTATATAGAATTTAGTTTCTAGTATGAAAACTATTGTAGATCTTAAATTTGACCAATTTTGAGTCTTAAGTTTATTGGAGCATATGTAATTATGTACCATTGAGTTGATTGTATACAATGATAGCTTTTGGAGATTATGTTAGTGTTTTTTATTTTCTCTTCTAATACATTATTTACCTTTTTTAATTCTCAAGTATCCTTAGCAAAAGTGCCAAAAGCTGAACTCGCCTGAGATAAGATGCATATGCTAGAAAATTAAATTTGGGTATTCTAAATTTAATGTAGTATGCTGGACAACTCTATGTGCGTGATCTGTGATCTAAATCTAATGTAGATGCTTAGTTAGTAATAGCCGGTTTGGCTGGAACGTTATTTGATGTGGAACTACTTGGAGAGTCAAGGTTTGGCCGTTTGTAAGTATTTAGTAATGGGGTACCCTAGGTTAATAATGGCTTTGGGTTGGTTTTAACTTTTAACAGTTCTTGACACATCACTTCCCTGGTGGAGCCTGAAACACAGCTAGTTGCATGTGCTAGTCTTTTGTTGCTTGCTGAACAGTTTCACTTTGCATAATACACTGCTTCCTAGGGACATGCGAGTGCTACAAATTTGTCATATAGAATGGATTTGTTAACTTAAAGTTGTAGTATCCTTAGGTGAATTGCTGATTTCTTTGACCAAAAAATGCCTACAATACTGTTGTCTGATGATATACTTGCGCTTCATTTTGTCATTTTAGGCGGCCTGGGGGTGACCGGATATATGGTGTCTTTGACAACCAGTTGCCTGCTGCATTGAGGAAGCTTCCATTTGATCGACATCTTTCCTTACAGAATGTGAGGAAAGTGGTTTCAGAGGCTGATGGTTATCAGCCTCACTTGATTGCTCCAGAGCAAGGTTACCGCCGCCTAATTGAGGGATCACTGAATTATTTTAGAGGGCCAGCTGAAGCTTCTGTGGATGCTGTAAGTTATCCCCTTTTATGTACTCTCCAGTAGTCTGGTTTTGTCAGAAATGTCTTTAAAGTTCATCTAGTTGTTAAGAACCTGATAAACTTTTGCATCTTTGACTGACTGAAAATCCATACTGTAGGTCCACTTCGTCTTGAAAGAACTTGTAAGGAAGTCATTAGCAGAAACTCAGGTGAAGGGAGTTTGTCTGTTACTTATAAAGCTTAACTATTTTTCTTCCAATGAAAAAATGGATTGATTTTGATGTTTGTGACTCAGGAATTGAAGCGCTTTCCGACTCTGCAAGCTGAAATAGCTGCTGCTTGTAATGAAGCCTTGGAAAGGTTCCGTGATGATAGTAAGAAGACAACTCTTCGATTAGTGGAGATGGAATCTTCATATTTGACTGTGGATTTCTTTCGGAGACTTCCCCAGGAAGTGGAGAAGCCAGGAAACCCAGGTACCACGACTTCTCCCGCTGTGGACCGATATGCAGAGGGTCACTTTCGGAGGATAGGATCGAACGTATCCTCTTATGTGGGAATGGTGTCTGAGACACTGAGGAACACAATCCCCAAGGCTGTCGTTCATTGTCAAGTCAGAGAGGCCAAAATGTCGTTGCTAAATCACTTCTATATACAAATAGGAAAGAGAGAGGTACTCTCTCTCTCTCTCTCTCTCCCCTAAATACAGACTGAAACACTTTTGGATGCTGAGTGATTATGGATTTATTTCATGTTAGCTTGGATTGTCTTCATTGCATTGCCTGCAGCTGTTTTGTCATTTAGACGAGTGTCTATAGACTAGAAGGCACAAGCTTGTTGTGGTTGCTGTTTTACATGATTATGCCCTTTCAATTTCAAAATTTGTTCTTAACGTAAGGCCCGTTTGATAACCGTTTCAATTTTAGTTTTTAGTTTTCACTTTTTGTTCTAGAATATAAAGGAAAAAGAGGGAGAATGGAAGTGAGAATGAGAGTGGAGATGGGATTGAGAGGGAAGATGAGAGGGAGGAGGATGCGAGGGAGGAGTAATAAAAGTGAACACAAAAACTAAAAATTGAAATCTATTTGAAATTGTTTTCACTTTCAAGTTTTGTTTTCACTTTTGTTACTCCTCCCTCACATCCTCCCTTCTCATCCTCTCTCATTTTCCTCTATACTCTAGCACAAAAATGAAAACTAAAAACTAAATTGAAATGGTTATCAAACGGGCCTGTAGGTGTAAGCTTTTTATTTTTATTTTTGGTCATTAGGAGGTGTAAGCTTATGATTCAACCTCAGGTGCAATGTGTTGATTGTTTTGGATTGCAATAGCTGTGTTCGCTTTTGGTTTTGATTAGTTGCCGCTTGGGCATGTGTTTCAGGCTAAGCAGCTTTCCCAGCTGCTTGACGAAGACCCGTCGTTGATGGAGAAGAGGCAACAGTGTGCTAAAAGGCTTGAATTATACAAGTCAGCTAGGGATGAGATTGATTCTGTATCATGGGCTCGCTGAGAAGAATTAATAATCAGAGACATCAGAGTTACTGCTACCGTTATGTAAACACGACCGAATTTATTGAATTGTTGGACAATAGAGATCTTGTCCTTTTTTCTTTTTCATATTGTTATTCTATGTTATTGTTGACCCAACGTCTCTTGCTTTGGGATGGGATGTTGAATTGTTTTATTCTTTTTTTTCTTTTTTCTTTTTTCTCTTTTTGGGTCAGATAGATTGTTGTATTTCTTTTGATTACTATTGTGATCATATTAATCTTTTGTACATCTCTAATACCTTTGTGATATAGTATATTTGAGCATTGCTTTAATTATGTCCGGTTCAATTGAGTTTGCAAAATGTAAGAATGGAGATTAGTCCAACTGGTTTTGTACAAACAACTGATTCAGTGTTTGGATTGGAAGCAAACCAAAAAAAAAAGCTAGTGTCTAAAACATGACCAGAACAGGGTAGACAATATTTTTATTGGTTTTCTTAAAGAAACTTATTGTTAATAAACGTGATTACCATTAAATTAAAGTGAATTAAAGTACATTGGACTATTAGTCCTTGAACTGGTATCTAAGTTTCAATTTGGTCCTTGAATTAAGTTTTTCAATTTAAAGGTTTCAATTGTAGAAACTTTTTAAATAATAGGTGCATATAACTTCTTTAAATACTTGCTCAAAAATATAAAATATGTTGTAAAATAAACGGCATATGCGGAAATATTGAGTTGCATGTAAAGTAAATGAGACAATATTTAATGAGGTTTGGCCTACGTCCTCGAAGAGCAGCAACAGTAACTTTTCTACTAAGTAAAATAATAGGGATACAACTTTAGTGTTTACAATCTTTGTCTCACTGATATTTCTCTCCTCTCACTCTCCTTTTTGTCTTCCTTCCTCTCTGTATGGGCTCTCATTTGCTTCTCTGATGGTGTGTCGTTACAATGAAGGGAGGAAGTTCATTTATAAGCAAAGCCTCTTGGCTTCCCTTGAATGTGCAATTATTTCTTCCAATACGTGGACTCCACTTCTACAACACCTTCATCATCACTTTACCCACCTGGACAACAAGTCTTCAAATGAATAGTTAGTGGATTCCACCACATTCTTTACAAAAAAAATCTTTAAACATAGTTATTGGTACTCCGAAAAAAGCCATTATGTATTATTCTATCATTTTTCTCATGTTTTTTTATACATGAGAAATGCATAATGAATTTTGTTGAGTGCTAATAACGGCTCTTTTTATATTAAAAAAAAATTATAATAAATTTAAAAATGTTAAAAAAAAACAAACATAAATAAGCCCCTCTCACAACATCCCTCCATAATAATTAAAAAAAACATTTCCTTAACATCCCACTGTTAATACACTTCCTTGACATTATACATTTTTGCACTGTAATGACACTGAATGTCACTCCACCTTTTACATTGGATGACCACTTTTTATACTGCAATAACATCTTATATACTGTTAATAACACTATAGCAAACCCAAGAAAAGTTGCAGAGCCATACATAATGCCATTCCATACTATTTATTCATTTTTCAAATTCGTATTCTCACCCCATGAGATTTTCCACTTCTTAAACAGAATCACCAAAAGAAGATAAGTAGCAACTGCCCATGAACGAGAGTAATAGCAAGAGAGGAATATATTCCACAATAACATCAACAATATGCATGCTTTTAGCAAGCTTAAGACAAAAAGGAAGGGCCCAAAAGTATTTCCACAAACACGAGAAATTATAAAATGGTACTGTAGTATGGCCACACGGTATAGAGTTACACCTGTTATAATATGGATGGATGATAATGTTGATATTTCCCCTTTTTAGGGAACAATATCAATAATATTCACTTATATATAACACATTAGACAAGTTATACCACGTTGTTGTACTACCGTACTACACTACCAATATAGTTAACACATAGATACCAGTCACACGACCGAGGATTGTTACGAGCAGCCTCCACATGTAGCCATGGAACTCCAGTTCTCACCATCTCGAGGGTTTTAAAAAAATTAAAATTAAAATCCGAGTATGTGGTCCTTGTATGTAGCCTCCACATTGCTACGAGCAGCCTCCACATGCTTAGTTCCCGCACAAACTCTTTTCATAATCCTCTCTGTGGTCCTTGTATGTGGGTCTAGGAATTTCCACAAACTGTTGTGTCCCTATTATATTCGAGTTGTTTGGGTTTGGGTAGAAGCCAAATTCAGGACCCTCTCCAATGGCTATTCTGGCTATTCACAAGTTAGGAAAGACACAAAATGACCCTTTTACAAGAAGGAATATGAGACATGGGCACATGGCAGTCGCGTTCACTAAAATCTACCTTTCTTTTTGGACTGAACTACTTTTTTTATATTATACAAAGCGATATTTAGGGAGAGGGAAATTGAACCTAGGACTTAGGATGCAGGAGTAAATGTACGATTGTAGTTAAATTTTTTCATTCACTCACATGGATTTCATATTTCAAAATATTAAACCTGACCAAAACTAAAATATGTTGACAAAGCTAATCGTAGGTTCTTCTCTTCATCGGAACAATATGGCCGTTATGCTCATTACTAAACTTGTTGAAGAGATGAAATATAACCAAGGTATATCTTTTTTATCAGAGGTTGAATCGATCATCAGAAGAAGAATTAGGCCAAAAATTAGGATACATTCTGGGAAAATAAAACTTCCATCAAAGAGAAGCAAATGAAAGGCTTTCATAAAAATTCTCATAGAATCAAGAATGAAGTTTTCATTTTGTACATGCCAGATCATGAATTAGTAATGACATCCAATATCCAAAAATCCCATTTCTTTCGAACTTTCTCTTTTTGGAATAGAATTTTTACAGTATCTCCATGAATAGGATCAAACCTTATTCTATGGTATTTACATGAGATTCCTCTTTCTTATTCTTAAACAAGTCCCCGATAATTAAAACCACACTGGACTTAGCTCAGCTTCTACATCTCTCACCACCAGTTATACCAGGATGTCCAATATTTCATCAACTCCACCCCCAGTTGATAGGTATTTCTTTGCTTTTAATTATTTTATTTTCTTGCACAGAAAGCTGCTCGTTTCGCAAGCTCATTGTTGTTCAGTGTTTGAAGTTCAAATGTGGATTGACCATTGTTAAAAGCCTCAGTGCAAGAAAATTAATTTGATTTTAAACAGTATGTTTGTTGAATCTTGAATATACTTGAGACCTTGGATTTAGATTTCGGATAATATATTGAAGCTAGAAAATTCAATATGTTGCCTATATACTACATATACTTTTTTTGTACGTACATCATTTTATTTTGAAATGGTTTTGCAATTCAACAAATGTATGATCAAATTATTAATTTAATCACATACGTATGGTACTTTAAGTTTCATGTATGATGTAATGGATTTTCATGCAATTTAATCATGTATCCACCAAAATCATGTCCACTTCTTGACTTGTTCACAAATGATTAATTTCCATGATTTTTTTTCTTTATTTTGGATGTTTTTAGTGTGCTTATTTCTATTTAAAAAAATGGCTAATAGTAATTTTCTTAGACCCCCGTTTGGGATTGCTTTTTTTTTTGGTTGCCAAAAACCTGTTTCACTTTAAAGTTAAAGTTAAGTAGTTTAAGGTGTTTGGTAAAAATAAAATATTCTGAATATTTTAAAAGTAATGGCCCTTTGATAGCAACTTTTTAAAGTAGCCGCTATGTTCCTTTTCAAAGTTGATTTCAAAAGAAGCCAAGATGAGCATTTAATGAATTTTTTTTCAATTCCTATAATACCATAATTATTATTTTTTTTTAAATGACATTGTTTACCAGCACCACTTTCACCTACCAGCACCACCACCACCACCACCACCACCAACTCCTCCATCTCCACCTCCACCTTCATTACAACCACCACTATAACCACCACATGATTAGTACATAACACTTTCAACATTACGTCTATTTAGTCATTATTCACAGTTACAAAAGTTTTATATCAAAATTTACCAAACAATTTTGACATTAATTTTTATATACTAACACCACTTTAAAAATATGTTTATCAAACATGGAACATCTTTACTTTACAGCTGATTATTTTTAAAGCACAACAAAAGCTGCTTTTTTTTAAAAGTGACAGCAATCCCAACTGACCGTTAATGCCATCACTTTCACTCTTTTATTCGGCAACATCTTAGTTTTCCTTCAAAACTTGTAATTTTATTATTATTAATGTTTGTGTCAAACAAAGACTCAGAATACATGTAAATAAATGAAATTAGGAAAAACCCCACTCTACATAATTTATAGAAAAGCTGTCAGAGTGGCTATTTTGGAGGAAAAACAAAACTCTCAACTAGTCACTTGGTCACTTTCTAATTGATTTATTAATATGTTACAATTTTTTCACTTGAAGGTACAATATGGAATTTTTCTATAGTATTAAATTTGAAGGGTGTTTAAATATTTATAACATATCATGTTATAATGGGCCTCCATGTGAAAAAGGTCATAAATATTCCCTAATATTTACAATCTATCATCCATGTCTTTATCCCCCCAACGCCCAACCAGTTTTATCATTTGTAGCCTACAACATGTATTCACTAGTTTCATAAATGTAGGTTTTGTAAAAACTTTTTGAATATATAAAATAAAATAAAAAAAACAACAACAACATTATAGACTCAACTATTCTTAAAATTAAAACCAAATACATAATCCATTCAAGTGAGAATTTTTTTAAGTATTGGATGACCTGCAAGTAAGAAAAAAGTAGCATAATTTTCTAAAGAAAAAAACATATTAGGCTTATAGATTAATAACAAGATGTTGAAACATAATGATAGATCAACAATAGAATCTAGATACCTTGTTGACACATACGTACCTGATAGTTTGTTAGCGCTTAGATCTATGTCTTGCAATGCAGACAAGTTGAAGATAATTGTCGGTATAGAACATGAAAACTGATTGCCACGCAAATTGATACTTTGAAGTCTGGAGCAGGACCCAAACCACGATGGAATATATCCTGTAAAATTGTTGAATTTGAAGCTGATAAACTTGAGGCGACGCAAATAAGACAATTCATGGGGCAGGGTGTCATGAAAACTATTGTTTCCTAAGTCCAGCTCAACAAGAAATGAGAGGTTGCCTAAGTATGGTGGAATGGTGCCTGTGAGATCAATGTACGAGTGATTCAATGATGCTACTCTGAGGTGACGAGCACCACAAACAACGCCAGCCCAATTGCAAACGGAGTTGGTCGTTGACCAATTGACCAAGATGTTGTGAGGGTCACTAGTGACATGGGCTTTAAGAGCAAGAAGAGCAGACTGGTCCGTGGTGATGTTGGTTTGTGTTGCACCTACTGTGCCTATAGAACTGTACTGCAGTTGCAGCACCAGCAAGAAGGTGATTGACAAGAGGAAACAACTTCTCTCCATGACCATGAGCACCGAAAACAGAGAAGTTCCTTCCAACTTCAAATTGTTTTTCGTTTGTTTTTTCCTTTCCGATTTAGAACTTGAAATCATTGAATAATTTGTTGTGGGAGGAAGAAATTCGCGAGTAGCCACATGCAACTGGTCCATTCATTGCAACGACTTAGACTTGTATTAATGGAAGAATGGACAATTGGGCATCTGTTTCCTTTTCCACGCATCTGTCTTCACAAATGTGCAAGAACTTGTGACATACGTATCTGTAGGGGTCTTTTTGTTCCAGCAACCTGACGAATGGGCTTGGGCTGCTGTAAGAAGACAACGAACAAAATTCCCCAAAAAGCCTGAGTTCGAAACCAAGCTCCCAAAAGGGTTTTTATAAAATCTGATTAGACTTTAGAAAAACACTCTTAGGTTCATCTCACTAACACCAAATAAGCATGATAAAAGCAATTAATGGCTTAGCTTGAGGAGCCTGTGGCATGGGAGCTAAGCTTTCACAAGTTTAGCAATTTGAGAGATAGAGAAGCATGGATTTCCTACTGAGAGTGAAAAAAATCTGAAGTAAGGCAGAGAAGAACTAAAACGATTTCTATCCTAGAGGAAGAATAAAAATCAAACGAAGATGAAAGATTGGGTGGCTTGAGTAAATTCCAGGTAGCTTGACAAAGCTTGGTCAGGCTCTGGGTTGTTGGTTTTTTATGGGTAGCAAAAGCCCTCTTTTATAGGCGTCAAGAACCCTAATTTTGTCTGGTCTCCCTCTTCCTTTTCCCTTGGTAGCTCCCTACCTAGTCCTATTTTGGTGAAATTCTCTTATCAAGGCATATGGGTAAGGAACCATTGTGGTTCCAACGATTTTGACGCAGTTGGACCTTCCCTACAAGGGTGAGGCGCCACTATGATTTTTCTCAACATTTTCAAAACAGAGCTTGTAATGAGGAAGGAGACGGGTGGAGCCTTTTGTCCAATGGGCATTTGCCCTTTACCTATGAATTTCTGCTGGTTCTTGCCTTGGCCCTTTGTCTGACTTGTTTGGAGTCTCATCAGAGGTGGAGCGCAATGACATCTTTTCTACAAGCTGCTGGGCTGGGCTTGTGCGTAACCTTGGGTTGCTGGCCTATTATTTATAGTGGATTTTCGCCAAATTGCTGGAAAGGGCTTTTGCTAATTTCTTTGGGGGCACTCTATTGATGTGGGTTAGGCTAGGTATTATGGTAGGCCATTGGGTATTTTCTTAAAGTATGGGACCATTTTCTCTTCTCTCTCATGCTAACCCATGTGTTTGGGTGCCAAGAACGAGCTTGAGTTTTAGTGCCCCCAAGTGGCTTAAAACTTACGTTCCTCGAACCCTCAATAGGCCTTGTGATCGCTTGTTCCCCTCCATGCCACAACCTTCTCAGTAAGCCCTGGTTTAATTTTTGTGGCTTGGGTCCACTTGTGGCATAGCTTGGTGCTAGAATAATGGCTCTTTTCGCATGACGTCTATTGCTTGTGCTTGAGTTTTATTATTCCAGGTCAAGTAACACCTAATGAGCATGTGAGCGTGATTTTTGTAAAGTTGGTGTGTTTTTGGTCCATTTGTATGTGCTTACTTGGCATGACGCGTGGCTGGTAGCATGTATTAGTGGGTCCCACAAATGCCCTTTTTTTCCTATTAAGCCTTTTTCCGTACCTTCTTATCCGTGTTGGGCTAGGAATTAATTTGGGCTTAGCCCCTTGGATTTTTAGGCCTCAACATTAGCCCCCTTGATTATTAGGGCCATAGGCAATACCTTGAGATGGGTCGAATAATCAAACCTGGCCCAAAAGCAAAAAATCAAATCCCTGCGGCTGATGTGACCTTCTTGTTTCCCGCTTGTGTGCTGCCATGATTATCTTCCAGCAGTTTCTTACGTTCCCCAGGTACGCTTCCATCAAATCTACCCCCCTTTTTATTTATTTATTTTTTCTTCTTTTGCCTTTTCAATCTCTGACTTCTTTCTTTTGTGTGCGCGAGTCCCCAAAACTGGTTGCCCCTTTTTCGATTTTATTTTTTTCTTTTGCTGGTTCCTCCTCATACCCAGGTCTAGGGAACCTTTGGAGAATGAGAAATCGCAAGGGGGGCTTCACCCATAACTGCCAGTTGGTTACGCTAAGAGAAACTGCTTCGCAATGTCTGGGAAAAGCAATGGCTCCTCTTTAAAATCCCCCAAATTTTTTCGATTTCTTCTTCAATCCGTCAAAACCTAGGCTTGGCAAAGTTGCCCTGCAAAGCGTGAAACAATTTTGACAGTGAAAGCGTAAGGCGGTTCCCCTTTTCCTCCCGATTTACCGAATTGCTGAAAAACGTCGTCCAAAGTAGTGGTAAGCATCGTCCTCTTATTTCTTCTCTTGCTTCTTCATCTCATCATTGCAAACACATGCACAGATGACGTGCCCATGCATATAGATTTTGAGAATTTCTCATGAATAGAGTGTCCTCTCAATTCCTTTTACTGTATATCCGCCGAATCACTCATGCCTGGGTTCGAATTTTTGGGTATGAACCACCGATTAGGGTTTCTAAGCATACTTGAAGTAGGTCTTGATTAAACATGAAACCCCTAGATGGTATCGAGGCATGATAGAGAGAACAGGAACATGCATGATGCAGACCAGCCACTCCATGGCTTTTTTCGAACCATTTACCCCTGTAACTTGGCCTATTTTTTTTTTCTCTGGCATGACATTCGTGTCTGTGTCTGGTGACTGGTGCTGGAATTCTTTTTTTCTTGTTTTTTTTTTTTTTTTTTTTTTTTTTTTTTTTTTTTTTTGTGTTCGTGACTTAGCGGGTTTATTATGGCATCGTCCGACCTTTTGCCCATCATGTTAGACCACCTTTACTCCATGGATGGCAATCTCAAAGCAAAAAGGCCGCACTTGTTGCTTGAAGATGCCTGTGAGAATCCCGTTGTTGGTGATGAGCCATTGCCAGAAATTGCTCCTATAGTTGATCCTGTCTCCATATCCAAGTGCTGCATTGAGAAGGGCCTGTTTCCAGCCGTTCCCTTATTTTTTCAATACCTTATAGCATTAGCAAGGGCTGGTCAGAGTGGGTTGACCGTGAGCTGCTGGATCCGTCCACATGCAATATTCTGGATGCCATCTTCTTTTCCAAGCTGTGAGATATCCATATTGAAGCGAAGATGCTTCGTCATGTGGTTCGGAGGTGGAGCGCTGCTACCATACCTTTGTGTGCTCATGGGGAGAGTTACCCCTACCCTTGAAGATGTGGCGAATATCTGACGCCTTCCAATTTGCGGTGATCGGAGTCCCTTCGACATTGCTCTCACCTTGGAAGAGGTGGACCAGCTTGCAATTTTGCTGAGAGGTGCTCCTACTTCTCCCAACACCTCTCTTCGGTTCAGCAACTGGATACAGTATTTCGGTGATGCACCAAGCAAGGACCTTGTCGGTTGGCTGCATTTGTAGCTCTGTGGCTTGGGCGGTTCGTACTTTGTGATTTTTCTCAGGATTGCTTGCATGAGCGTGTATTTCCTTTGGCTTTGGCTATAGCTCGAGGTGATACCATCCCCCTAGCCCCCATGTTCTTGGGGCATCTATACCGGCTACTTAATTAGACTCAGCTTTTAGAGAAAAGTGCATCTGGAACTATGGGCGTGGAGACTCTATTGAATTCTGGTTTCTTGCAGGTGTTTTATGGGAGCGTCTCAAAGGACTGGATGTACGTTCACTCCTTCACTTACATGCTATGAAGCTGGCCGATTGGGGCAGGGGGTTCTTATATGCCGGAAAGTCTTCCCTTAGTCTGCAGATGGTTTAAACAGATGCAGAGGAAAGGCTAAGACTTTCTGAAGCTGTTGGATAATGTTGAGAACTTTATCTTTCGCCTTACGGCACCTCGGCAGAGACCTTCACCTTTGTGCCCTTCTATGCTGATGTTAGTGACACCGTTGAGGTTCCAGCAGCCATGCCACAAAGAGGCCAGTTCAGAAAGTATGCCATGTTGAACGTTGCTCCTATCCCGCTGCCTACTCTTGGAGACAGTCGCTCTGAGATTTCAGTACCTTACTCACCTTATCGGGTTAAGCGGCAGTTTGGGCTTGATCAAGGGGTACCAAGCAGTCCTAACCATGCTGACCCCTTCGTGCTACACAGCGTCTTCTGGAGCAATGACCCTATACCAAACAGTTGTAGGCCCATTGTTTTAGCTAGCAAGAGGGGAATTGGCAGCTTCTCCCGAGGTTACCAAGCTTACTGGAACCGCTGCCACGCCTCCTTTCGTGAATTCCAATCTCTTCTCGGAGATAGATTGCCTTCTACAACAGCTCGTCTTGTAGGCTTGGTGTCGGAAGAGAAAGCCATCCTTCTTAGCCAAAAACGCAACTTGCCCTTCATTTCCAAGAGCAGTGACATTGTTGGAGAATTTCCTAAGACAAAGCCAAAGCCAGGAGTACAGAATCCTGGTGGGTTCCGGAAAAAGTGCAACACCAGTGTCAAGTAAAAGGAAGCGAGAGAAGGAGCAAAATGTGAGTGAGAAGTAGACTGCTGGTAAACCCAAAAGGTTCATTCCAAAGGTAGCCCAAGTGGCCCTCCTCGAACCAAAGAAGCAACTCCCCCGGAACGTCCACAGTCTTCAAAACCTGCTGCATCCGAGAGCCGAGGTCATGCTGGCAAGGTGCTGGAAACCTACCCCCTCTCCGCAATAAGTTTTACCTTAACCTCTTAAAAATATTTTATTTTATTATTATTTTTTTAACCTTGTTGTTTTTTGTTTTTTTTTTTTAATATAGGGAAAATGGGTACCACCCCGAAGAGGAGAAGAAGTAGCACACCCTCCGTGTCCCCACAGGCTACTTCAAAAAGTCGCAGCATGCGTGTCTTGCAAGCAAAATTCATTGGGACTCGTACAAGTGGTAGCAACGCCTCTGGAACTAGAACTGTGGTGACAATTGATGATGACAGTGATGACTGTGACACTACTGAGTCCGAGGCTAACACTCCGGAGCAAGAGGATATGGATAACATTGGCAACATGCATAAGGGTTCCGATGGAAATGACAATTATGACCACGATGGAGATGTTCCTTTCGATAATTACACAGAACAGCAAGGCGGCTTGGATACCTTTTCTGGGTCTGTGGGTAGCAGTATGCGCCCTGTTGGTGTCGAGCCGGTACTTGGCCTATCCTAAACTCTGTTCTTTTCCCCTATTTTGCGCCACCAAAACACCCCTGAGGTACCTCCTTTACTAATATTCTCATTTTCTCCTTGTTGGACACCATTCCCTTCTACTCCTTTGCTAGTGCACGTAACCTGTTGTTTATTTCGTGTTGACCCCTTGTACATATCTTACACCTTTTTTAGATTGGGCACGTTGCCCATAACATGGAAATCGTGCCCGTGGTGGCTCCCTCATTTGACACCCTTCATAGATTGGTTGAGGCAGCCCTTGTGGAGTCGTTTCCGACCATGCTGCAAACTAATTCCCAGGACACAACATCCATGTTCCGAATCACAAACCCTTTGCCTCCCATCTTCCAGCACTTTCTTCGGAGGGACCTTGCGCCTGCCATTTCTCCGGTTCTTCCGGCAACTCTCCGAAGCAACACCTTTGCCTTTCATGGGACACTACCTGTTCCATCTCACGTTCAACCGCTTCTCCGGGTGCCAGAGCCTGGTCCCTTATCACTTCTTCCATCGTCCTTACTTGGTGATGCAAATGCTGCCAAGAATGCTTAGGCTATCGTTGCTGCCAGGAATACTGCTGCAGAACGTCCATCCGATGCATTTTGGTTGGAGTGGGACGAATACTTTGCTGCATTCATGGCCTTCTTTGATGGTGGTGTTCAGGTCCTTCAATCCGCAGATGAACTCTTGCCACTTTCTTACCGGGTTCAACGGTTATGCAACATTCGAGGAGCCCTCGTTTATCCCGAGACAGTTGCAGCCCTGGAGAAATTTCTGGACAAGTATAGGGATTTCATGGATATGACTAGCATCACTTCTTCCTTTCACGGTGCGCTGCTTTCTGGACTCTTGGCTTGGTGCTCCGCAGGATGGATACTACGCAGCTGTTGGACATCACAGACTATCGACTCCTTTGCTGGTGGGGACGCGATCTGTGAAGCCATGACTTTAGGTTTCCGGGTAGAGTTTCTCTTGAATCTGGTGAAAGACCTAGCTCGTGTTGTATTCGAGGAACGGGCTATTCATATAATAAGTCTACACACTCCACCATATAATCAGTCTAAAGTAAAATGGCATGCCTTCCTTTACATTGTCTAAATTAAAGACTGAAATTGAATCAAATCAAGTGCATGAAATACATGTCATAGATAGGACCCATTAATTACATGTCATAAGATAGGACCCTATTAATTGAAGCGTTGCTGAACAAGAGGACGGTTTAACAGCACACCTCTTCCTGTAGTAGTGTCCTTCAAAAACTTTGTCTTGATTTTGTTGAGTGTGGCTGTAACTTCTTTCATACTTATCCTCTCTTCTGGTGATTCTGCACAGCAAGTAAGAGCTAATCTCATAATGGCTGATATGCAATCCCTCTTCCTCACATGATCATCATCTTCCTGCTGTGTCCCAATCCTAAGCAAATTGGCATCCACAACTTCATCTATCTTTGCATCTGGTAATACTAGTGAGTTTGAAATCCATTGCTTTATATCATTTCCCCATTGAACATCTCATATGTTGGCTTCCTTCTTGTGAATGTTTCCATGAGCACAATACCAAAACTATACACATCTCCTCTTGTTGAAACTATTCCTTCCATTCCATACTCTGCAATATGAATTATATTTGAGTTGTAATTATATATCTAAATGACATTTGATGAAAAGAACATTTTAAGTTATGTTGTTTGTAACTGAAAGATATTAAATTAGCAAGCATATCACCTGGAGCCATGTACCCAACTGTGGCTAGGGTAATGGTTTGGGTAATAGAATCACCTCCACCCAAGAGTTTTGCAATTCCAAAATCAGCAACATGTGCAACCATATCATCATCTAGTAGTATATTGCTGGGCTTCATATCACAGTGCACAATAGGTATGAATAACCATAGTGTAGGTATTCCACTGCTGCTGCAATGTCTATCATTATGTTCAACCTCTGTAAGATATTCAAAGAATAGTTTTGAGAATATAACCACTTGTCCAGGCTCCCATTAGGCATGTAGTTTCAGTACCAAGGCTTTGAAATCAAGTTCACTGCAACAGCTGATGATTTTGACAAGGTTTCTATGACGAATATTGCTTAGCATTTCACATTCCCTATCAAAACTCTTGAAAGCCCCTTCTAGCTGTAAACTGAAAACCTTTACTGCAACATCTATTCCATCTGAAAGCGTCCCTTTATATACTGAGCCAAAACCCCCTCTTCAAGTAAGTTGTTTTCGTTAAATCCATTCGTGGCCCTTAGAAGTTCCAGGTGTGAAATTCTTTCCAAAGAAGTTGAGGCAATGAGTTAGCCTCTCCTGCAACTTCCACATTTCTTTTCCTGTGTAGTACAAATATAGATATGGAGGCCACTAGGAGAATTACTGATATGATCCCTGGGATGATATATTTAGCTTTCTTCCAATTTGGTTCAAGTGTAGTATTTTTGCATGGTGGAACATGAAGTCGGGGTGCACCACAGAATGCGTTGTTTGAGACAAATGATTGAGCAGAGAAGTTTTGGAATGGTCCACCTGTTGGAATTTCTCCTTGGAGCCAGTTGAAAGACAAATCCAGATACTTGAGAAGTGACAGAGCTTCTAAAGACTTGGGAATCACTCCAGATAGATTGTTTCTAGATAAATTCAAGAGTTTGCAGGCTTAGCAAGTCGTGGAATGAACTTGGAATAGGGCCTTCCAAATTATTATTTGCCAAGGAGAGATTAACTAGATCCTGAAGACCCCAATGGTGCTTGGTATAACACCAGATAAATGGGTTATTGATAAATCTATCTCTACGACAACTTTCAACTTTGCAATATCTTGTGAGAGAGGTCCAATTAGAGAATTGGATGATAAGTTTACTGTAAGATATAGGCAAGTCTCCAAAAGTAGATGGTATTGTGGAACTCAACAATTGGACTCTAGTGATAGATATCTAAAGATGCGGCTAGATTACCAAGCATGAAGGTATAGAACCAGAGAACTGATTACTAGCCAACTGTAAGTAAACTAGGTTATATAGTTGACAAAGTTGATATGGGATGTAACCTTGCAATTGTTGTAATTCAAAGTTCATACCTTGGAGATTTCCAAGTCTTCCTAATGAAGTTTGGAATTGATCCACTCAATTGATTGTTTCCGAGGTCTAAGGATATCAAGCTGCTTATGTTGCCAATACCAATGGAATGTTACCCCTCATGCTGCAGTTTCTTAAACCAATACGTTGAAGCGTTGATGTAAGAAATTCGAAAAAAAAAAAAAAAAAAAAAAAAAAAAAAAAAAAAAAAAAAAAAAAAAAAAAAAAAAAAAAAAAAAAAAAAAAAAAAAAAAAAAAAAAAAAAAAAAAAAAAAAAAAAAAAAAAAAAAAAAAAAAAAAAAAAAAAAAAAAAAAAAAAAAAAAAAAAAAAAAAAAAAAAAAAAAAAAAAAAAAAAAAAAAAAAAAAAAAAAAAAAAAAAAAAAAAAAAAAAAAAAAAAAAAAAAAAAAAAAAAAAAAAAAAAAAAAAAAAAAAAAAAAAAAAAAAAAAAAAAAAAAAAAAAAAAAAAAAAAAAAAAAAAAAAAAAAAAAAAAAAAAAAAAAAAAAAAAAAAAAAAAAAAAAAAAAAAAAAAAAAAAAAAAAAAAAAAAAAAAAAAAAAAAAAAGAATAACTAAGTCTAAGGAGATAATGCATTTATTAATTCAAGCCCGGGGTCATTACAAACACCAATAAAAACAAGGGGGGCGGCTGAGGGGAAATATTAGGGTGTTTTTTTGAGAGAGAGAGAGAGGAGGAGGAGAGAAGGATATCGGATGGAAAAAAATGAGTAAAGGGAAAAGTAACACTTTCGTCCCAAAAAAAAGGGAAACAGTAACACTAATTACTGCTAAGTGCACAGGTGCTTCTTTCTGATCTGACCATCTGTGCCAACATCACTAAGTCCACTTTCCCCAGGCAATTCTGCAGAGCAAGTAGACCAATTTCTAAAAGTGAAATCAAGCATTCTTCGGTTTGCATGCGAAAGCCTTGCATTATTCTCATTACGATGATTGCTAGTGCTCATCTCCACTTGCCACCATTTCCTGAACAAGAACGGGATCCACAATCTCTACCAATTGCTCAGGCACACGGCCTTGACAAAGTTATGAAGGTTTAAAGTTCCTTGAATGTCGGAGCAGTAATAATAACAAGAGTGCTGACGTTGACCTTATGTGACACCTGATATACAACTAGTGTTGTACCCGCCATCTGTGCTTCCCAAAACACATACAACTAATAAGTGAAGTTGACGTGGGATCCTGCTCACCTTGATTATATTATGTCCTAGGTGTAGCTGGCTTAGTAGATTTACAAACTAAAGTCAATTGACATATGCATACTGTGCAGTTTTCTAAAGTCACTTATCTTTGTGTTTGACTTCTCAGGAGACCTATTCAACTCGAACCTTTTCAATACGGGGTTGTGTTTTGACTAAGCTGAACCCTTCAAGTCTCATTTATCCAGCTTGGGTTGCGTCGATCTCTAAATCCAACTCACATTTAAACTGACTTCGCGGTACGCACCCATTCTCCAGTTGCCTCTCTCATTCAACTTTCGTTTCGTCTGCTTGCTTTCTAATTACTTCGATGTTGAGGCTTAACCTTTGGCCGAAGTCGAAGGTGGGATATCCCTCGAGGCTGAGATAAATAAGATGCGAGAGAAATTCCGCATTCCTGGTGACGTTAATATCGGTTGGATACCTAAGGGAGCGGATATGTACACAAGGGTCGGAATCCCGGAGGGAGCTCTAATGCTTTCACCATCCCACCTAGAGTTTATTAGGTTCCCACTTCACCCCTTATTTCACCTAGTGTTGAATTCTCTGAACCTCCATCATATGCAGTTAAATCCGAACTCATACTTATTGATTAGTGGTATGCTGACAGGTGGCCTCAAATGGGGGGTGTCACTAGGCTTCTTAGATTTCTTCTACCACCATTATGTTGCCACAGTTAGACATGAGACTGAGTATTTCTACCTAACCCCTCGACCTACTCATAAGTTCTTTGGCTACAAACCGTCTTCCGCTAAAGATTGGAAGACCTGACCCTTGATGATTACCGGGGAATTGGGCTACCCTTGAGATGTCTTGTATCTCTATTCCTTCATTATTCGGGCCTGAACCTAGTATTCTTGATTATGACTGCTTTACTAATACTGACTATGATACAATTTTTCAAAGGAAGCTTACTGAATAGTTTCTTTGTTTTGCAGTGTCCAACCCAACCTGTTTGGAGATTGTCCTTACTCATGAGTTAATCCAGTGGCTGAACCGCCACTTGGTGGGTCAAGATTGGGACGTTCAGTACTTCCTCTATCCCAACACGCTTCTTCGCATTTCTCAAGATCGGGATAGTATCATCTATCCATCTTACCTTAGGGTTGATCTTAGTGCGGACCTACATGAGACAGAATTAGTAGGTCACATAGTCAGCTTTAATCGAGCTCTCCAATTCGAGGAGGATTCCTCGCATCGCATCCGAAGGAGTTGCGCAAAGAGAGGCTGAAGAGGAAGAAGATAGCGGTGGTTATTCTCCTGACGACTCCGAGCTATCTATCATGTCGGTTCCATTACCCAACCCATCGAAACGTGCTTCTCGACCAGGTCCAGGGCAGAGACCATCCGTTGATCAGCAGACAAAAAGGTCCAAGCGTGTTCCAGATGCGGGGTTGAGTTCAAATCCTTCAGATGCGTTCATTCTAGGTTCATTTCAGGCTGATCCCATCATGATCTGCTCCGTCGAGTTGGTTTGGCCACCTCTGCTCCATTTGTGGCTGTTGAAGATATGACCTCGACAACGAACCAGTCATTCCTACTGATGGTGAGATATGGAGACCCCGGTTTCAGAAGTTAGACAGGAAGCGTCTTATGACAAATGAAGGACTCTTGCATGATCCCGAGGCATGCGACACCGTTTTGGGTGGCCTCTTTCACCCACAAGACATTAAAGAACTGACGGACTTGGATGATCGTGACATTGCGCTCCAACAAGGTCACAACTTAATCTCGGTATGTTTTTCCCTTACACTTCTCATTTTCTCAGTTTAGCTTTGCCTTACTTTACTAACTTATGCAAACTCCATGCAGATGGCCGAACTTCGCTTGGTTGAACTATCCAGGGCTTAAGGGCGCAAGGATGAGTTAGACAACTTGATCAAGTCCCACAAACATTAGGACAACGACTTAAGGCCCGTGAGGCTGCATCAGTGAAAGAGAAGGGTGAGATTTCCCGTCTTTCTGACAAAATCGACGTCCTCAGCCTTGAATGCAAGAACACTTTACTGGAAATGGATCAGTTGAAGAATGATGTGGGACGTGTTGGAAAGGAGAAGAAGGATCAGTACGATGCATGTTGCGCTCAAATTTTCAAGGAGTCCGCCAAACAATTTCGGTTCGGCTGGGTGCAGGGGCAGCAACCTGCCCACCATAGGGTTGTGGCAGATCCTGACGCCTACGAGGGAGAGATGGGAGTTGGTGTTGCAGACTACAAGTTCATATTCGGGATGATCCCTACAGACATTCCTACTTCTGGCTCTGCAAAGCACCATGCGCCTCCCGACTCTGGTGATGTTGTGCCGTACACCACGAGCCATGACATTTCCGTTTGTGATACGAGATCGGGGAGTAGGCTTTTAGGTTGATGCGATGAGTGATACTACATATATTGCATTACAGATGGTGGGTACCACATATACATATATATATATGTTGCCATGCACAGATTGATATATATATATATATATATATGTTGCCATGCACAGATTCATATATATACATAACTTTGCATTATATACATATATATATGTTGCCATGCACAGATTCATACATATACATAACTTTGCATTATATACATATATATAGATTGCCATGCATAGATTGATACTAACATTTGCCATGCGCAGACCCATGTTCATATGTGCACACGTAGACTTATGTTAATATATATATATATATATCTATATCTATATCTATATTAATATACACACACGCATCATATTTCGTTCGTGTACACATATGTTCTTCACGAATAGAAGTGCATAGGTTGTTGCATATTCAGTTGGTACCTGGACAATAACTATTGATGGTGAAGGGAACCACAAAGAAGAAGAATGGTTGGTGATGAATCTGGCAGAGTACAAATTATAGGAAGAAAGCAACACTCAGGTGTGAACTTGTTTGTAGGCCAGCCATAGGAAAGAACCAAAACATCGTTCGTAAGATGACGTACAATCCAGCAAGAGGACAATGCCGATTCTGAGGGGTTTTCCCTCTCCTCCTTTCCCCTATTTTTCTCTTTCTCTTCTCGTTTGTTTTCCCTCTTGTTGCCTCTGTAATTCATTCACCTCCTTTTATGAGTGAAGAGGGAAGTGCAAAACTCTAAAGGAGAGGGAGAAATATTAAATTGGTGTCAGGAACAGGTTTTGAAAAGCTAAAACTGTCAAAGTCTTGAGAAACCCATTATTTTTGGAAGTCCTTTGCGTGCATAGTTGGCTATGTGAGGAGTCTTGTCAAAATGGTGGACATGCAATTGTCAGAGTTGAAATAAACTCATTGCCACATTGCTAGATGGTAGACACTCAAGTATGCCATTGCCTATACTCAAGCAAAAGTGCCTTCCCCATTTTCAACAATAATTAATACAATAATTAATAAGGTTTCTTGTCTTGTTGTATATGATATATTGGACTCATGCAGGTATGCTTATGCCCTAGTGATCTTTTATGACATTGTTAACTGTCATTGTTGTTCTGCTGATGGGCAAGTCAGGTGCAAGGTTTTGTCCAACGGTCCAAAAAGGCAAGGGTAGTAACCCAAAGAGAGTGTGAGCTAAGTTGAGTTTTTCCCTCAACCCACATGCTAAGGGCGAGCTGGAAGAGGAAAAAAAGGGGCAATGTGAGAGGAAAATAATTTGCTACCGATCCGCCACATCACGAGATCAGATTTAGGCACAACCCAACATAGGTTTATATGGGCGTTGGCCCAATGCAGGTTCTCTTGTGCGAAAGCCCAACACGAGCTCAAATTGGGGTTGATCCAATATGGGTTCATATACGCATAAGCCTAACGTGAGTTCGTATTGACATTGGCCCGATACGGGTTCGCATGCGCGTAAACCCAATGCGATTCCAGATGCGCACTGCCCAATGTGGGTTCGGATACGCACCACTCGACATGGGTTCACAAGCGCATTATCCCATGCTAACTCGTGTACAAGTGGCCCGACATGGGTTTGTGGGTATGTTCAAACACTCGTACTCCCCAATCCGCACGAATCAAGGGACAACGTGAACACCGTTGAGAGTCAACAATGCGCAACTCATGCTAACCAGAAGTTGCGGAAGTGGACATAAGACATGCAAGGTGAGGTTTGCAGCCCAAGCCTACCATCAAGTATAAATGCGAAGTTCCACAACCAGAGAAAAAGATGTGATTTCAGATTAACTGGTGCACTCATAACACACAAAAATTGACTTGAGCGTCGAAGTATCTTTTGCAGGTACCCATCCCTTCCTCATCTGATTTGGGGGAAGTGTCGCTTAGAGATTTGTTTATCTCGTGTGCGGAGTAAAACCAAGAACCTGTGGAAGACATTCTTATTGTAAGAATTTCTGCTCCAACATTCAAGGAACTTTAAACCTTCATAACTTTGTCAAGGCCGCTGCGCCTGAGCAATTGGTAGAGATTGTGGATCCCGTTCTTGTTCAGGAAATGGTGCAAGTGGAGATGAGCACTAGCAATCATCGTAATGAGAATAATGCAAGGCTTCACATGCAAACCGAAGAATGCTTGATTTCAATTTTAGAAATTGGTCTTGCTTGCTCTGCAGAGTTGCCTAGGGAAAGGTTGGACATTAGTGATGTTGTGGCGGAGTAAAGCCAAGAACCTGTGGAAGACATTCTTATTGTAAGAATTTCTGCTCCAACAGTTGGCGCCGTCTGTGGGAACTCTCGCAAAATCAATCAATGGCCGAATCCGCACAAGACGCTTCAGCCCGATCCAATCCTCGATTTGCAGATATCAGATCAGATTCTGAGGAAGCAGAACCCAGTCTCGCAACCATCCAGTTTAAGAAGATAATGAAAGAGTTGCGTGAAACGAGGAAGATGGTGGCCGAAGCTTTGGAGAAATCCAAAGGCAACCATACGTCGCAGCATTAAGGCCCCAAGGGGAGCAAAAGGAAAGAGAGGATAGAGTTATCTGATGGAAGTTCCACAGAAAGTGCCCATTCAGATGGTCAGCACAATGACCATGAAGACCACCGAGACCAGATGAGGGAACTCAAAAAATCCAAAGACAGCAAGCTATGAAGGCAAATTGAAAAGATTGTGAAAGGGTACAAACCACAGACACCTACTGAACTGGCTGTTGAGGCTGCCAAAGGAATTTGTAAATCACCTTTCACCAATGATATTCTGAAGGCTAAGAAGCCCGCAAATTTCACTCAACCCAAATTCAAGTTATTCGAAGGCGTAGCAGAACCCATCGAGCACATCTATCACTTTCAGCAGCAAATGGTCCTCGAAAGCGAAGACGAAGCATTGTTGTGCAAATTATTCCCGTCTAGCTTGTCGAGGTCGGCTTTGACGTGGTTCAGGCAGTTGAAGCCAAAGTCCATCGGTAGCTTCAATGAGCTTTGCGAGGCTTTCATATCCCAATATGTATGCAATCAAAGAAGGAAGAAAGACATCACAGCGTTGTTCAGCATAAAGCAGAAGGCAGGTGAGAGTCTCAAAGATTATCTGAAGCGATTCAAGGAGGAAATTTCTACTTTAGAGACTTATGATTCTCACACTGTGTCACTGGCATTCCTCGAAGGGGTGACGCCGAGAACAAAAATGCATAAGTCGTTGGTTAAAACACCACCCCTCGATATGAGGGAGGTTCTGGCTTGGGGTCGATGGAATCATCAGACTAGAAGAGGAGGAACTTGCTTTGTCTAAGCTTACCACATCAGCCATTTCAGCACAAAAGCACTCGTATGAGATGATCCAGGGCTCAAGGACAAATTTTCCAAGTGGAAATCTTCACAACCAAGCTAGGACCAATTCTCCTCCAACCAAACTTACTGTCAGTTTGGCTAAGCTCTTCCACGAAAACAAGGGCAAATGGATTTTCTGAACGCCTCCGACATTACAGGAGCCGCTAGAAAAATGAGACCGAAGTAAGACTTGTGCACACCATAATGACTTTGGTCACACCACCAATGACTGTAGGAATCTCAGGTACCAAGTTGAAGCAATGCTAAAAAAAGGGATGCTTTCACAATATCGGGCCCAACCAGAAGAAAAGCCGAAGGAGGAGCGCGCAGCTGAACAAGTGACTAACAACATCGCCGCTAAATAAGGGTTGTTGGAGATCGATGCTATCCATGGCCGGCCTCATCCGCCAGAGGGTCAGCTGGCTCGAGCCCGAACCGAGAAAAGACAAGCCGAAAAGATAAGACGTGTTTGTGGAATTGCTTCAGCACCAGAATCGACCCAGTCATTGGAAAAGGTCCGGATCATCTCATTCACCCAGCAAGACCTTGAAGGAATCCAATTTCCTCACAACGATGCACTGGTCATAACTCTTCAAATCGAAAATTCGAAAGTCATGAGGGTTATGATTGACGGCGGAAGCAGTGCAGACGTGATGTTTTGGAACACTTTTAAAAGAATGAAATTGGATGAAAACGGGATCAGACCTAATCCCACACCACTCTTCGCATTTGAGGGCAGCAAGGCACGAGCAAGAGGAGACGTGACGTTACCCGTCATAGCCGCTGGGGAAAACTCTTTCAGTGACTTTCGTGGTGGTGGACGCCCGAGTGCCTACAATGTGATCATGGGGAAGGATTGGATTCACATAATGGATGGAAAGGCATCAACCAGATGCCAAGTGATGAGATGTTTGACTGATGATGGTCTTGGTACTATCGATATCAAAGGGGATCAACTCGAAGCCAAAAGTTGTTACAATATAGCGAACCAGCAATTATAGCAATTAATGGAGGACCTACCAACAGAGCAGGAGGAAGATCCAAAGCCCCCCACAATTGAACCACTAAGGGAGGAGATATTGGATCCGTCTGATCCCGATAGAAAAGTATTGGTGGGCTCCCTCCTATCCAACACCGAAATGGAGCATCTCGTCTCGTTCTTGAGGAATAATAAAGACGTGTTCACATGGTCACATGTGGATATGCCTAGAATCGATCCCAGTGTTGCTTGTCACCGCCTAAATGTGGACCCTAGCCACCCACCACACCAACAGAGGCAAAGGAGGTTCGCGCCAGAGAGAAATCAGATCATTAGCGACAAAGTGGATAGACTTCTGGAGGTTGGGTTCATCTGCGACGTGTGGTGCCCGACATGGATCTCTAATTTGGTGGTTGTGGCTAAGAAGAAAGGAAAATGGCGAGTTTGGGTCGATTACATCAATTTAAACAAAGCCTACCCGAAAGACTGTTACCCGCTGCCTAAAATTGATCAGATGGTGACCGGGTATGAACTTTTAACTTTTCTTGATGCTTACTCAGGGTACAACCAAATCCCAATGGTGGTCGAAGACCAAGAAAAAACAACTTTCATTACCGAGCGTGGCTTGTATTGTTACGTGGTGATGCTATTTGGTTTAAAGAATGCAGGCTCAATGTATCAACGGTTGGTGAATCAGATGTTCAAAGACCAACTTGGGAAGATAATGGAAGTGTATATCGATGACATGGTTGTCAAAAGTGCGGTGAAAACCCAGCACCTGAGTCATCTTTAGGAAACCTTTGACGTACTGAGGCGATATCGGATGAGGCTGAACCCAACCAAATGTGCTTTTGGTGTCTCATCTGGTCAATTTTTGGGACACATTATGAATAGGCAGGGCACCGAACCAAACCCAGAGAAAGTGGACGCGTTATGAAACATGCCAAGCCAGAAAACTCCAAGAGAAGTGCAGGTGGGGCGGATAGCGGCATTGAGCCGGTTCATCTCACGTTTATATGACCAGTGCAAACCTTCTTTCGGGCAATCCAGAATAGAAAAAATGAGGTATGGAGGCCAGAGCAAGTGGAAGCTTTTGATCAACTAAAACGATACTTGACAAGTCCCCCGATCCTAACTATACCAAAGCTAGGAGAGATATTGTATATCGACCTCGCCGTAACCGAAGCGGCAGTAAGCGCAACATTGTTTCGGGAAGAGAACTACCTCCAACAACCTATTTTCTATGTCAGCAAGAGTCTGATTAACGCTGAGAGGAGATACACTCGGGCATAGAAACTTGTCTTGGCATTGGTAGTAGCCAAGAGGAAACTCCTGCAATATTTCGAGGCTCATACCATTACAGTGCTCACAAATCAGCCTATTAAGGAAATCTTGTCCAAGCCAAATCTGTCGGGTAGAGTCACAAAATGGATGATCGAGTTATGAGCATTTGACATCAGGTACCAACCGAGAACATCTAAAAAAGGACAGGTAGTTGTTGATTTTCTCGTTGAATGTTATCCCATAGAAGGAATGCATGAGAAACAGAGGGATACAGCAGGAGCAAGGTGCAGCGAGGAAACACCATGGAAGTTATATGCAGACGGCTCATCCAACCAGGCAGGGGATGGGGTCGAGATCGTCATTTCTTTCGCCGAAAGGAATAAAGCTAGAATACTCTATCAGATTAGATTTCCATGCCTCAAACAATGTTGCTGAATATGAAGTCTTGGTATTGGGATTGAAAATTGCCGGACTATTGAAAATATGTAATTTGAAGGTGTACAGTGACTCTCAACTCATAGTTAATCAAGCAAATGAGGAATATGTCACCAAAGACGAAAGGATGGAGGCATATCAACAACTGTCAAAGCGTCTGTCTCAACAATTAATAAGTTCGAACTGAAGCAGATTCCGAAGAGCTGAATGAATAGGCACACCGATTGGCATGTGCGGCATCGGCCTCAGCTTCAGGTGAGGATTCAACAAGGGTCATATCTGTAGAATGCTTGGAAAGCCCCAGTCTGGATGTTGTTGAACCTAGGGTTATGCAAGTCAACTCAGAGGTGACGTGGATAACGCCAATAGTAAATTATCTAATGGCAGGAACGCAACCCGCAAATCCGGTCGAAGCGAGAAAACTTCGAATGAAAGCTGCCAGGTATGCACTCATAGAAAACGTCATCTTCAAGAAGTCTTTTTCAGTTCCCTATCTACGTTGCCTAATCCCATCCGAGGTGGAGTGGACCCTGAAAGAACTACACGAGGGAACTTGTGGCAATCATTCTGGAGGGAGGAGCTTGGCACACAAGGCGATAACGCAAGGCTACTGTTGTGCCTAATAAATCACGGTTATAAGCTGATTGAGGGGACATCCTTTCGGCCCTGACGCCTACCGTTTCGTCGAGCATTTCACCTTCCTGAAAACAAAAGGAAAGCTGTAAAGGCAGAATCCTCTCGGCCTTGCGACCGCGGCGTTGAAGGCCGACGCCGAAGGCCGTAAAAGACACGGCCGAAGAAGCTGTGGTTAAATCGCCACGTGGCCTCAGGGTCCTATGCCCCATTTAATGAAGTAATGCCTCTGACTTCGCAGCAAACCCACTAGTCGCAAGAAGCATTTAATGCACAAGGGAAGTGACTGAAGTCAGGATTTGGTGATGGAAATCAGGGTGGTTAGGCGCAGACATTCTCACAAGTAATCTTACGACTTGAGGTCAGATCACCAACCACCAGACCAGGACATTAAATGCGTTCCCACAGCCAAGGGGGCAGAACCCACGATCAGGGCAGTGGGTGAGATTTATTGAGATTTATGGGGGTCACACCACCATGCTTCTCAACCCCAAGCCATCATACTTCACGATCCCAAATGCCGATTTGACTACCCACTTGCCCCAGTCAGGCTCCACCACGCAGGTCTTGTCAGCCTCGATTGTCCCTCCAGGACTCCTCCTATAAATACTAAGCTTAGGACTACATAAAAAGGGTTCAAACACCAAACCAAAAGCCTCCCAATGAGCAAATTATATTTTCCTGTAATGCACTTTCAATACCTTCATTTGCTTTCCTAGGAATAGTGGTAGATTGTAAGGAAAATCCATTCATCAATATATCATACGATCCTTGATTTTCAAGGCGCCGGAGCACCATCTCTATCATCATCTCACTCACTCCATATATCATACGACCGTCGCTCTCTGAGCAATGCGCCAGAGCACCGCTTAAAACTCGCCACCAACGCCACCACTAAACGTCCTTGTAGCTCAGGCCGTGAACCTGACGACCGAGATCAGTTCCTCTCTCGGCCACAATTATTTGATTAGGAGTCGAATGCAAAGCAGGCGCAACATTTAAACCATCTTCTATCCGAACCTCATCATTATCTCAACGCACGGTAGACCGTGCTGGCACGCCCGCGCATAACCGCACCGCATCTAAAAGAAGGACGTCACGTGTTGACAAACATCCTTTCGGCCCGGAGCACTAGGCCGTGAGATTCGCAACAGCCAACGCTTTTGGCACGCCCAGTGGGACCCTTGTCAAAAACTCATGGTGGAAACTAGGGCACAGGCAAAGCTCAAAAACAAAACAGTCGAAATGACTTCCGAGGCTCCTGAGTCCAGCTCACCAATCACTGTCACTGAGACCGAACATGCGGTCAGAATCTCGGCCAGCAGTCCAATAACGACGGATCGCACGGCCGAGTCCATGGGAGAGCAAGCAGTTGTGGAAGATCTGATGGCAAAGCAGGCCTACAGGATAGAAACATCCTTTATGGCCACAATGGACAGATTCTCCTCAGAGCTACGGACGCTTTTTGAGGAAAGGATGCCGGTGACATCGTCCGCAACGCCTCCCAGAGCCAAACAGAGAGGCCAAGAGCGCGAGAGGTTTGAGCTCTAGCCGCACCAAGAGTCAGGCTACGACCAACATTCTCAGCCGCCGACAAACAACTGGGGGCAATCCCAGCCAACATGGGTAAATCCCGGACCAACCTGCCCGGCAGAGATGGCGTACAGCCCACTCCATGCTTTGGCCCAATTCACACTGTGGCCTTCCAGACCTATCCTGGCCCAAGCAACTTGACCGCTGCTTCGTCACAGCAATACGGTCAGAGCAATCCGACCGTTTCACCATTACATACGTCGTTATTGTCGTCAGGCTCCCATCTTCAGGACGGTTCAGCCGTTCCAACAACAACACATATCCGGTACCGCCCGGCTCGGTCGCAAAGGCCGAACCCCCCGTTCAAGTGGTCCAGCAGGTAAGGCCGGAGAACGAGGGGCAACAAGTTCCACTGCCAGTTGCGGCCCAACAAGAAGCGCCCCCTCAGGGGCTCCGATTCGAAGACGTCCGGCGAATGATCGAGGACGACCTGGCTCAGAGGCGCCCGGAAGCGCCAAGGTATACCAAACCATACCCGCCAGAAATTGACCGAACCCCTCTTCCCCGGAACTATCGGTTGCCAGAATTCATTCTATTATCTGGGGATGGGCAAGCCACCTCCATCGAACACATAGGCCACTTCACAGCCCAGTGCAGAGAGGTCGATTTGGACGCCCAGAAGCTCCATTTATTCGTTCACTCTCTGACCGGCACGGCGTTCTCGTGGTTCATAAACCTTCCGCCGAATTCGGTGAGGGATTGGTCCAACATGGAAAGGATATTCCACGAACATTTCTATCAGACCAACCAGGAAATAACGGTCACCGAGCTGGTAAGGATAAGCCTGGCGTCAGATGAATCACCTCGCGACCACATGCAGCGGTTCAAAACGTGCAGGAACTAGTGCCGCACGAACCTACCGGAGAGTGAATTTGTCAAGATGGCTGAAGAAGGATTAGAATTCGAATACCGGAAGAAATTCCAGGGGATTGAATTCCGGGACATGCACGACTTGATCAACAAGGTGGACCGATATGCATCCTTGTTGAAAGAAGAGGTGCAGAAGAGGACGGCTTCAAAAGGGACTTATTATCGGAATCCCGTTGTCAGCTATGCCGAAGCAGACAGCCCCACAAATGAGCTCAGCCGAGGTCAGCATAGACAAGCCATTCGTCTGCAAAGGACTTGTTAAGGCCGACAATAGTCGCACAAAGATTCCCGACGCCAAGTTCGCAACTCAAGAAATGAAGACCTACACTTTTGATTTGACCAGGGTCGAAGCTATCTTTGACCTACTGGTAACCGAGAAAAAGGTCAAATTGTCCTTCGGCCAAAAAATTTCGAAACCCGAAGAGCTCAAAGGAAAGACATTCTGCAAATACCACAGTTCTTGGTCTCACAACACCAACAACTACGTTGTTCTACGAGACGTCATCCAGAAGTTAATAGACGAAAAGAAGCTCCAATTCTCGGAAAAGGAGGCCATGCAAGTCGACTCTAAGCCATTCTCTCCGCCTGTCATCAACATGGTCAATGCTCAGCTCCGGGCCGAATATAGGGAAGTTCGTCGGCCTAGAGAAGGAAAAAAGCCGTTGGCCGAACCAGAGCCGGTACCCTGCAGTCGGTGCAAGTATGAGATCGGTCAGCTCAGACCGCCAGAAACAAAAGAAAAGCCATCGAGCCATCTCGACCGACTACGAGGAAATTCGGCAGCCAGTACTACCGTCGGCCAGCAAGAAGAGTTATTTTCGACCGACTAGGGGCATGAGGCCCCAGTACCTCGGCGGGCCACAAAGACGAAGCCGCTCCTAGGTCAGTGAAGACTTTCAAACCACCGGTCGTACGGGATGACCGTTGGTATCATGCACGACCTGGGGGCAGCACCGAACCGCTGACAAAAACCTAGCTGAGAAGGATGCAGAGGCAAGTTCAACAGGCCAAGATACAGACGGCCTCAGGTCGAGGGGTTAAAATGCCAAAAGAAGATGGCGACTACAGACGAACCACCATCTGCGCCAGTCGTTCCCCTCGCAGCGAAGGTCGCCAGCGTTAAGCCTCCGAGGACGTGGCGCCCTAGGCAAGACGGTTATCCCCGCTGAATGACGGCCGTTTCGGTCGAGCCAAAGGCCACGGCCCCAGAGGAAACGGATGAAGGCATCATCGATGTCTACCACGAAAGGGACCCCCCTTTTTCGGCCAACAGTTTGTCCTTTCTCATGGAATTCCACAAGGACCACTCGGCCATCAACCTATACGACATGACCTCTGAAAACCGCGAGATCGTGGGAATTGGCTCTCAGAAACGCCAAGGCAGAAAGGCTCCTCGTTACCAACAAATCTGACTCGGCCATTAAGGTCGTATACCAGGCAAACCAAGAGGCCAAGGCTAGAGGGATGCCAGGTTACCAACCCGAGCAAGGAAAATTGGAGGCTAAGGCCCCTTTTAGCATAAGCGATTTGGAATACCTCCGTCGATATTTTGCTGTGACTCTGGCCGACACCATCTTCGGTCTGACGACCCAGGAAAGGGCCCGGGTAAGTCGGCTGGACGATTACTTAGTGGCCAGAGATGCGTTAGCTAAGGCTAGGCAAGCCCTCGAGGAGGAAGTCGAGACCTCGGACCCCCTAAGACCAAAGCGACCACAGATGATACCCCTGGGACTGCAAGGCCTATGGCCGAAGGCCCCGGCGACCTTTTCTTTGGTCACGAGGCCGAGGATGACTCCGCGTTGGGAATCTCCGATGAGGACTGTGAGGGGATCCTCGGGATGATTGAGGAAAAAACCCTCACCAGTGGGGGCTGCGAGGTCAACAAAGAGGCTGGTATGGGAAACAAGCGGAAGCTAAATGAGGTCAGCATGAACATTGTTTTGGTGCTACTGTCCGAGTTTTCAGCCCCAAGAGGCCATACCAACGGCCTAGATAATGACGTGGCCGAGCAACAGCTTGATCAAAGGTCAAAGACAAAGGAAGAATTGTTGGCCGTGGCTTTTAACGAGGTAATACCCAGAGACGAGCCAAACAAATACCGACACCTCAAGCCGTTATACATCTCGGCTCATGTAGAGGGTGTGCCCGTGTCCAAGGTCTTCGTTGACTATGGGGCGACAGTCAACATCCTTCCCTATTCCCTGATGAAGAAGCTGGATAAGTCAAAGGAGGACCTCATCCCCAGCGATGTGGTCATGAGCAGCTTTGTCGGCGATGAATCTAAGACTATCGGGGTGTTCCGTTAAAAATCACCGTGGCCGACCAGACGAGAGTCGCGGCCTTCTACGTGGTCGAATCCAGCATGGACTATAATATATTGCTCAGTCGTGACTGGATCCATCAGTCTGGATGCGTACCATCCTCCCTCTTCCAACTGTTGTTCTTCTGGGACGGCCAGAGAGTGTCCATACACCCGGCCGACAAAAAACCCTTTGAAACCAACGCTATGCACGCATGAATTTACGACGACGACATTGGATGGGTTGTCCTCACCGGCCACGATGCAAGCGGCCGGCCAACCAGGAAAACGACCCAAAAAATGCTGGAGTTAGGCGCTGAGAATGTTCGACAGGATTCGGCGCGCGAAGTATTGATCGACCTCACTGGCCTGTAGATGACAGACAAAGCCACTAGAGAGGAGGGAGCGGTAGCCACGACCAACCTGCTGGAAAGACTGCTGGAACATTGGGCAGAGGAATCCTTACAGCCAAACTCGCCAATCAACCTAATCGAATTCCTCCACGAGTCGGATGAGGCAGATACTTTGGCCTTTGACCACTTGGGAATGGCGCCTGCTGAGATGGATGATGACTACCTCGAGGTCCAGAACCCGTTATTAGAAATAAATGTAGGGACCGAGCCCGAACCACGACCTCTTTTTGTAAGCCAGTTTTTGAGCCCTGAATTAGCGGCCGAGATTATCGACCTGCTCCATGAATATAAGGATTGTTTTGCTTGGGATTATCATGAGATGCCTGGATTGCCAAGAAGTTTGGTCGAGCACGAGCTAAAAATTAGGGAGGGGTTTAGGCCTTTCCAACAGTCGCCGAGGTAATTCTTGACCGAAGTACAGCTGAAGGTCAAAGAGGAAATTGAACGGCTCCTTAAAGCCGGCTTCATCCGCACGGCTCGGTACGTTGAGTGGTTAGCTAACATTGTACCGGTGTTGAAAAAGACTGGGGATTTGAGGGTTTGCACGGACTACAGAAATCTAAACCTCGCGACCCCCAAGGACGAGTATCCCATGCCTATGTCCGACCTCCTGGTGGACAGAGCTGCGAAGCACGAGCTCTTGTCTTTCATGGAAGGCCACGCTGGTTACAACTAGATCTTCATAGCCGAGGAAGATGTCCACAAGACGGCGTTTAGATGTCCAGGCGCAATCGGGACTTATAAATGGGTAGTCATGCCATTCGGCCTGAAGAACACCGGCGCGACGTACCAACGAGCTATGAACCTTATTTTTCACGACCTAATTGGCCGAACCGTTAAAGTCTACATCGACGACGTTGTTGTAAAATCCCCATCCAAGGCTGACCACGTGGGGCATCTCCGACAGGCTTTCAATCGCATGCGGGCACACGGCCTAAAGATGAACCCTAAGAAATGTGCTTTCGGCGTCACCGCCGGAAACTTTCTCGGTTTCTTGGTCCACCAACGAGGGATCGAGGTAGATAAGAATAAAGCCACGGCTATTATGACGGCACCCCCGCCGAGGACCAAAAAGGAACTCCAGTCTTTCCTCGGAAAGGTCAACTTTTTAAGGCGGTTCATACCCAATTTGGCGGGGAAAAATCCGGCCATTGACTCCTCTGCTCAAACTGAAAGACACGGAACGATTCGTGTGGGGGGCAGAACATCAAGCGGCCCTCGACGACATCAAGCAATATTTATCTCAACCACCGGTCCTTATGTCGCCGAAAAGAGGGAAACCTTTGAGGCTTTACATTTCGGCTTCAGAAGGCTCTATCGGTTGTCTGCTGGCCCAGAACAATGAGTCTGAACGAGAGCAAGCAGTGCATTATCTGAGCCGCACCCTTAACATGGCCGAGCTAAACTATTCACTGATTGAGAAATTATGTTTGGCACTTTATTTCGCGGCCACCAAGTTGCGCCATTATATGCTGCCTTCAGTCTTTCAGATCATCTCCAAGACCGACCTCATCAAATACATGCTTACTTGGCCGATCATACGCGGCCGGATCGGAAAGTGGACGATGGCATTGTCCGAATTCACCTTCCAATATGTGGCTCAGAAGTCGGTCAAAGGCCAAGCATTGGCCGATTTCTTGGCCCACCACTCGGCTCAGGGGCAAGAGGGGAGTTAGAGGTTGAGATCGGCATGGCCTACATGGAGAAGAACTACTGGACCTTGTACTTCGATGGCTCTAGTACCGAGACCAGATCTGGGGTCGGGGTCGTGATCGAGTCCCCCCAAGGACAAAGGTGGCAATTTACGTTCCAGCTTGATTTCAAATGCACCAATAATCAGGCAGAATATGAAGCACTCATCATCGGTCTTGAAATTTTAAAAGAAATGAAGGCGACCCGTGTCCTGGTCTACGGTGATTCTCAGTTGATAATTAACCAACTGACCGGGGAATACCAGTGCACGAGCGAGAATTTAACCTTGTATTATGTAACGGCCCTCAATACGGCCAACGAGTTTTCTAGGATCTCCTTCGTTTATGTACCGCGCGCCGAAAACCATGAGGCCAATGAGATGGCCCTGGTAGCGTCAAGTGTGAACATTCCGGGCAGCGACCACGACCGCATAATAAGGATCGAGAAGCGCACCCTGTCGGCTTTGGCCGAGCGAGGAATGATGACGCAAGTATCATCAGCCGAGATTACTGACGAGGTCGAAGCGGCCGAGGCTGACTGGCGCTACCCCATAGTAAAGTATCTGCGCGATCCCTCCGGCAACCATGAAAGTACTACTCGTTTCCGAGCTCGGTGTTATTTGATTTATCATAACAAGCTGTATTGAAAAAGATCAGACAGTTTATTGCTCCTCTGCCCCAGCGCCGAAGATATCAAGGTTATCATGGCCGAATCCCACAAAGGGATTTGCGGCGCTCACTAGTCCAGCGTTAAGATGAGATGGTTGGTCCGGAGGCACGGCTATTATTAGCCGACCATTTTAAAGAACTGCATAGAATATGCGAAAGGGTGCATCAAGTGTCAAATCTACGGCCCCATACAAAGGGTACCGGCTGACGCCCTCCACCCAGTTACTAAACCATGGCCGTTCAGAGGATGGGCCGTTGATATCATCAGCAAAATCTACCCGGCCGCGTCCAACCAGCATGCCTGGATTTTGGTGGCAACTGACTATTTCACTAAATGGGTTGAGGCGGAGTCCTATCGGTCCATTTCTAGCACACAGGTGGTCAGATTCTTCGAAAATCACATCATCCACAGATTCGGGATACCCGAAACCATCGCGGCAAATAACGGCCTAGTCTTCGCATCAGCCGAGACTCGAGAATACGCCGAGAGGATAGGGATCAAATTGGTCCACTTGACACCCTACTACCCACAATCTAACGGACAGGCCGAGGCGAGCAACAAGGTAATCAAGGGCATCCTCGAGAAAATGATTGAGGAAAAACTTAGGGCGTGACACAACTTACTCCCTGAAGCCCTTTGGGCTTACCGAGTCTCAAAACGATCGGCCACTGGCACCTCCCCTTATGCCTTTACCTATGGCCATGACACCATCATTCCGATGGAGCTAAAGGTTCGGTCTCTCCGTGTGACCGAACGACCTAGGCATGAAGAAAAGGACTATGCGCAGGCCATGGATCAGGAGTTAGAAGACTTGGAGCAATCCAGACTCGACGCTTATAACCTAATGCAAGCACAAAAGCAGATCGCGGCGATGTCCTACAACAGGAGGGTGAAGCAAAAGACTTTCGCCGAAGGCGACTTGGTATGGCGTGCCATGCTTCCTATCGGGACTAAGGACCCTCGGTTCGGTAAATTCTCGCCCAATTGGGAAGGGCCGTTTATTATCGAATGAATCCTTGGGCGAGGTGCATTTCAATTAAAAGATAGGGATGGGAAATGGCACAACTTGCCAATAAATGGCCAGTATTTGAAGAAATATACCCCGTCATTATAGGAGATGGCCAAGAATGGGTTATAAGGTTTACAATCGACAAAGATGAAAGAAAAACATACATTCAGTCAGAAGAAAAAGAGGGTTGTACTTCATTTAGATTAAAAAGGGGTCGCAGTTACAAAAGAACGGCCGGTCATAGCCGAATGAAACATATAAGCATACATGTGAGAAAAATAGAGTACATCCTAAATCTATGAACCGCTTCTTGATCCCCTCGCTAGAGCAGGCAGATGATTCTTCCCTAGACGGTGCCTCCACCGCCCACGTTTCCACTAACCGCGACCACAGGCAAGGACGTCACTTGGGACATGGGTGAACCCGAGTCGCAATCAAGGTCGTCGCTCGGGCCATGGCCAAGGCCGTCACTCTGGACACGGGTGCAGCCGGCTAAAGTCAAGGCCGTCATTCCGACCATGGGTGAGGACGTCACTCTGGACATGGGTGAAACCAGGTTGCAATCAAGGCTGTCACTCGGGCCATGGCTAGGGCCATCATTCTGGGCACAACTATGGCTGGGTGAAGCCAAGACCGTCACTCCGGCCATGGGTGCAACCAAGGTGCTAGGCCAAACGAACATGGCCAAGTTGGAATCATCACACTAGGCCCTTCCATCTTCATCTTTATGAGGCCGTGGAGAAACTGTGTGCTTCTTTTTTTTTCTTCAAGTCCTAAAGAAAGATGGCAACTGTACAAAAATAGACTTCAACAATTTTCAAACGCAAAAAAAGGATTATATGCCTTATGAGAAGAAGAAACTGAATTTTCAGTTTTTGCGTTTTTTACAGGTGCTGTATAACTGTTTTTTAGACTGTTTTGTAGCTCTTCCCATTGCTGCTAGACAACAGGTCAGTTTTCTATTCGTCTTTTGAAGAAGTCTTGCATATCAACTGTGGCTAATTGGTTTTGGATATTGTGTCTTTGAAAATTGTTATTTCTATCATTGTGATGTTATTGCTTATCTGGTTTGCTTGATTAGGCTATAGAAATTGTATTTAATTCGTTTTCATATGTTTGTTTTGAAATTTTTTATTTCTATAGCTACAATACTGTTGGTGTGCGTCCATTTTGCTTGATTAGGATATAGATGTAATAAAAATATTGTAATTTAACTCATCCATGTTTATTTTTTCCTTTCCAGCCATCGATGTGTTGGTTGGAATTTGTAATTTTTGAATATGATGCCTAAAAGAATCACAAAAACCAGAAAAAGCCTGAGTTAAATTATAATAGATCGATATTGAATGCATTAGTGCCAAGGAAAATGTTGTTGAGTTGTAAACAGTTACTCAAAATCTTCCACCGGTTTCATACTTGGTGCATCTACATTTAGCATCTGTTCTAAATTCTTCACTAAATGGCATCAAAATATTTATTAACCAAAAATAGCTAAATACAATGAATAGTGAAATTTCCACCAATGACCAAAAAGAAAACTTAGATGTTGTAAACTATGCAGTGCTCTCAAAGTGTTGGCTTATTTTACTGGTTTGGATAGAGCTTTTAGGTTCCTACTTTTGGTTCTGTTAAGCAAGAGGCAAATTTCTTGGTTGAAATTAATTGGCAGAAATTAATTGTTTTCCATTTTGCTTTAGCCAATGGCATCAATTTCCCATTTGTGTTGATCATTTAGGCATATGTACTGTTCTTCTTAATTTTTTAATGATGAATTTTTGGTATGCAAGTTTGATATCAAAGCATCCCTGTGAATATATACATTAACTTTTTAGTAAGAACCCATGTAAATCAGCTACACGGTGCTTGATTATTATGCATCAAAGTTATTCAAATTAAAGAACACATTATTAAAAAGCATGACATTATAATCAGTAATCGTATACTCTTTATTTCAAATGCAGCATCTAATAGTTTTTAAATAGACAGTGTAGCATCTCCATTGCAATACAGTTAGTGAAAGAACTTTTTCTTAATAAATGTTTTTTATGTTTTCTATTCATAGTGGAAATAACTTTAAAGTGGGAAAAGATCATCAATTTTTAACAATGAGAGATTTTTTTTTTTTTTTTTTTTATTTAAAAAGGTTGGCTATATATCAAAACACTGTCAAAGATGTAGCACATGTGGCACTAATGCTCCAATTGGGGATCACCAAGTTGTTCAGAGCCCTGTTTTAGAATCTAGAATGTCTTTATTTTTCGCTCTTTTGATTGTTGCTTAATTTTATTTAAAATTGCTCCTCTGCAAATGGTTGGTTGCAAGTCACAATTATGGGCCATTGAACTAATTTCCAGAAACAAATTGACCACATTGGCTTAACTAATTATATAGGGTTTGGTCGATGTTTGGTTTTATCGAATTTGTTTTTTACGGAACATTTGGTATTGGTCTACACTGTCTTGCATGCATATGGATTTTGAAATGAGTTGTGATGTGTTTATTTAGTTTTCTCTTTATGGTGTTGGTTACTTTTCAACCAATTAACATGTGATTCTCCTCTCAAGGAATTTGAAAAGAAACCAGTCTTCAATTCGTATCGTAATATTTTCATGTTTTCATTTGTTTGTGTAAGAAAAGGAAATGTAACAAATAGTTTCTGTTGGTTCTTGATATTCTTCAATACGAAAATCAGTATTGAAACAGATTCATTAATTGAGACTGTCTTATCTCACAAGCAAAACCAGAATTATACTTATTAGCCTAATTTTGTTTTTCTGTCTTTGTATTTTAGATAGCTGTTGTGATCCTGCTTTTGTGTGGCTGTTTTTCGAAGTGCTTGATAGCTTCTTTGACTACAGGTTAGTGTTTCATCCATTTTTCAAAAGATTGCATGCATGGTGGCTGTAGCTTATTGATTGCCAAATATTATGACATTTGAAAATTCTCATTTCTGTGGTTCTGTCAATATCACGGTGCATTTGCTTATAATTTAAAATTGTATAAATGCATGTTTTTTCTCCTTTCCAGTTATCAATCTGTTGCTTGGGGTTTTAAATTTCTGTGCCTAATGCGTAAAAGGACTAGAGATAGCAAACGAAATCAGATGATGCAAGAAGCTCATAGTTTTGCCATTTCAAATGGTATAGAAATCTCTTATGAAAGTGTTTGTCTTGCCGATGATAAACATAAAACCAGAGAAGAAAATATGTGAGATTCTGACAATTTACTAAATCGGTTTGAAGAAGAAAAAAGCCCAAGGCAGTTCCAAAATTGCCTCTCCTACTTCCACATCAGAGTTTATGCTCTTTCCTTTTCAATTCATTCATCTCATTAATGTACACATTATATACATAATATTTCATTGTTCACAACTTATTTCCCCACTCAATTTCTCTATATTAAGTGGTAGTTGATTGCATTGAATTTGGGCAAAGTTTCCTTTCTCATATAATTGTCTTCAATTATGATTCAATTTTAAAGAAAATTTATCAACTCTTCTTTTAAAATATGATTTTTCTCAAACGTCTTTTAGAATGCAATTTGGTTTCAAAACCCGCAGCATGGCGCGGGTGCCTTTGCTAGTTTTAACTAAAAACAAAGAGCATGATTGTAGATGCTTTTAGGCATATATAGCCAGTATTGAAGCCTAAGGACAAAATTAGAAAGACCGAGGGTGGTTCTTAGCTGCTGGTTTTTCCGCTTTCGAAAAGGAAGTATTGGGAAAAAGGCTGATTTTGAATTGTATCATAGCAGCTCCATACCACAAAATAAAATAAAAATTCCTATTTCTTAGGGTGAAGGTGAAATGGTGTAGAAAAAAAATCATTTTTCATTTGAAAATATATAAAAAGCAAAAATGATTTAATATTTTCTTTTCTTTTATGGTTTATTCCAGTATTTGTTTTTCTAATTGCCTTAATTAAAATGCACTTCATTGATTTAATTGATGTGGCATATAAAATGGACATGCCACATCATGTGGTATAGAAATGTGGGATAAAAATGTGGTAAGTGTAGCATTACTCTATTAACTTATTGCATTGAAAAATAACAGTAATACAACAATCATAGTTAATGTTTTTACTCTAATATTTCATACATGTCCCACACAACATTTGCACATTTCTATGGCATTATAACATGCTTTATTCAAACAGTCTATTTTGTTAAAGATTGTTCCTTATGCGACACATTTCAGCCATGGCATCAGTAACGTCCAACCGTTCACCAGGAAACTCTGCAGAACAAGCAACACCAATTTCTAAAATTGAAATCAAGATTTTCTCAAATTTGATGCGAATCCTAACGCTATCCTCATTAGGAAGATTGTTTGCGCTCATTTCACCTTCCAATATTTCTTGAACAAGAACGGGATCCACAATCTCTACCACCTGTTCAGGTAAGGCTGCCTTGACAAAGTTATGAAGGTTGAACTTCCATGAAACATGTCAGCTGTCGGCCTTTTTCCTGTAAACATTTCCAACAATAGGATTCCGTAACTATACACATCACCTTGTGTCCAGACTTCATGTCCTATACCATACTCTGCATTACAACAATTCAAAACACACCAAATTGTAATTTATTATTAAATTCTCCAAAAGGCCTGTTTTTTGTGCTTTAAACTTTTAAAATCAATATGAGAAACTTTATAAGGAATGTTGAAAGAAAGGATTGGTCACCTGGAGGAGCATAGCCAATTGTTCCTTTTACTCCCATAGAGCTCGAATGATTTCCAGAAGTAGTTTTGTGAAGGAATCTTACTAACCCGAAGTCACCAACATGTCCAACCATATCATCATTAAGAAGAACATTGCTAGGTTTCAAGTCGCAGTGAACTATTGGTGTTTGGCAATGGTGGTGGAGATAATCCAACGCCATAGCTACATCAATAGCAATGTTCAGCCTTTGAGAAAAAGTTAAACTCCTTGGTTTCTCATTTGTGTCACCGATATTCTGGGTCGGGTGCAACCATTCCTCTAAACTCCCATTAGCCATGAACTCATATATTAGCGCCTTGAAATCGTCACCACGATGATTAAATCCCGCACATGCTGAGAGTACCTTCACAACATTGCGGTGTCTAATATTTTTCAAAGCCTCACATTCAGATGCGAAACTTTCAAAGCTCCACGATGAACGAGGTTGAGTACCTTGACAGCAACTGTTGTTTCACCTTGCTCAAGAACTCCTTTATAAACGGACCCGAAACTCCCCATACTGATTAAGTTGATAGAAGAGAATCCATCAGTAGCTTTTAGAAGACTTTGGTAAGACACTCTGAGAAATTTTTCTGAATCACTTTTAGTATGCTCCTTCATCCTTTCCCTCCGGGAACAATGAAGGTACAAAAAAACAAGTGCAAAAATGACTCCGAAAACTCCACAGATGAGAGAGATTATCAATTTCATCGTTAGGCTCAATCCTCCCCTTTTGGAATGTTTGATTTTGCATTTCGGCAATTTAAACTCAAGTATGCCCCCACAAAGTTTAATATTACCTTCGACTGATGTTGCCGTTGCATTCTTCAGAATTCCTTCTACTGGTACCATGCCCTCAAAATTGTTATGAGATAGATTCAAAGACTGCAGAAACTCAAAATGTTCCAAGAATTCTGGGATCGTCCCTGACAAGTTGTTCCTTTGGAGATATAATTCTTCCAGACCTCTTAGTGAACTCAAAGAGGATGGAATGGTCCCCTGGAAGAAGTTTCCATCCATCCGTAGACTTTCTAATGTTATGCAACTACCAAGACTTGTCGGAATTTCACCAGATAACTTGTTTTGAGAAACAGATAAATACATCAGATTTATCAAATTTCCTACTTCTTTGGGGATGGAACCAGTGAAATGATTTTGAGATAAATCCAATAAGGTATATGAAGATGACGCAGCAATGACTTCTGGGGGTATTATACCACTAAAATTGTTAGCAGCGAGTGATAAGGTCACTAATTTGTGACATTCTGCTAAACTTGAAGGGATACTGCCTTCAAGATTGTTGAGAGCTACATATAATTTAGCTAATCTACTTAAATTTCCAAAAGAGGATGGAAGATGCCCAGAGAGAGAATTGTATCTATATCTAACTGATATAATTTCTGAAGCTTTCCTAAATCAGGGGGAATGAGACCTGAAAATCGGTTCCTAGACAGAGATAGGATCTCCAAGTTCACCAAATTTCCAATCTCATTTGGGATGCTGCCCGATATTTTATTATCACCAAAAAAAAGTATAGGAGAGAAGAAGTTAAGTTACCTATGCAGTGAGGTAAAATACCCCCAAATTTGTTTACACTAAAGCTCAATACTCTTAAACCAGTGGAATTAGTCAAACCACAGACAAAGCTCAAGTCACTGATTCCCTCACCTCCAAGATTGTTGGCAGCAATAATAATTCGCTCGAGCCTATATAAATTTTCTAAGGGACTTTTCCATGTAGTTGGTTTTCTGAGATTGCTAGATGAACTAGATTTGAGGCATTAGATATTGAAACAGGAATAGATCCAGTAAATTGGTTAGTATTAAGACCTAAATACTCCAGACTTGGAAAGGCAATACCTAAGTTTGCAGGCAAAGTCCCGTGGAGTTTGTTTATGGACACAGAAAAGAGGCTTAAAGAAGAGAGGTTGAAGATGGAGGGAGGGATCATACCTGACAATCTATTTCCATCCAAAGAAAGATATCTAAGATTGGTCTTTTCGCCAAAGATATCTGGAATGCTTCCATTCAAATTATTAAAAGTTGCTGAAAGCCATTCAAGATATGATAAATTGCTAAAAGAGTAAGGAACATTTCCAGTAAGGTTGTTGTTGTCAATGCTATTTTTAATAGCTTTGACAAGGTGCCGAGCTCGTCAGGAATTCTCCCTACCAGCAAATTGTAACCAAGATCAACTGTATGGAGTTGAGAGCACGCTGATAAGTTGGTGGGAATTTCACCACTAAGTGAATTGTTGGCCAATTGTAAATCACGCAATCTGCGCAGAAGACGGATTTCTGGAGGGATTCGTGGCTGAATCTATTGTCCACCAGATGAATCACTCTCAAGAAACTCAAATTCCCAACATGCGGCGATATTGAGCCTGAAAGATTCAAGGAATTTAGGTACAAACCCGTGACCCTCTGGTGGCGCCGACCACATGTGACACCATGCCACTGACAAAAGTGGTTGGTCTCATTCCATGAAGTCAAGACTCCAAAAGGGTCATCAGTTATCCTGGTCTTGATTTCAAGCAAGGCCAGCCTATCTGTTCATTTCCACTGAGTCTCAAACCAACGCATGAGTGAAGAAAAGAGCATGCAAGCAAAATATACAAGAAAAAAACACAGTTGGAATGAACTTGGAAAGCTTCATGATATATGCGTATGTTTTTGTGAAACTTAATTTGGTAGCTAAACCAGTGAGTGCATAATGTGTAGCAACTTCAGGGGAGTATCCAATTTATAAGCAGCTGCTGCTGCATTGTAACTTCTCCAACTAATGAAGAATGTAAACACATGACTTGGGGGGTCATTTATTAATTCTTTCCAGTGTTTTCGGAGGCCGGCTGGAGAAAAATTAATTATGGGCCCAAGATACCTTTTAAAAGGCATGCATTTAGAATCAGACAAAACTTCTTGACTTAATTTGCCAGCTTATTTTCAGACTTTTTCCGAGTCTCCTACTGTGTTTGATGGAAGTTCATTAGAATACTACTAGTTTTTGCAGAGGTCGCCACTTGCCATGTCCTTAATAGTGAAACGACAAAGAAAGCTCAATTTTGAGCACCTCACATCGTCCACACCCTAATATGGTGATGGGGGGGGCACATTAACCCCAATCAACCAATTTTTTTTTTTTTTTTTTTTTTTTTTTTTTAATTCAAATTCATAGAATCAAAGTAACGTACATAAAATGACCCGAAACAGTGGCCTTACTAAAACTTTCCTGAGCAACAAACCTCAGGGAAAGAAAGAGTACCACACATGTCATAGACTAACAAGAGAGTCTGAAACAGTCACATAGGACCAATGCTAGAGCAAGATCAAATAAAACAGCAAACTAACACATAGACCTTCGACGCAAAGACATCCGATAAAAACACTACAATATAATCCAACTGTCAAGCTAAAACAACAAACTGAGTTGGTTATGCCTTAAAGTATATGTTATTGAATAACATATTGGACTTTTATTTTTATTCTTTCTATGTTAAATTGAATTAAGATATGATTAATTTGCAAGTTCAAAATGAACTTAATGGGAAAGACAATAATGACGTATCAGAAAATTTGAGGTGGCTAGCAGCTAGTCCAAGCATGGCAGTGTCATCATGTAAGTGCTATCTAATTTGCCAGGAAGTGGCCGAAAATTGATCCAAAAACGAAAAAAATTCTAGTTTTTAGATTGAGTTTCAAAACTTCAAAATCAATCTAATCAAACCCCTACCGCTGTTTTTTTTTTTTTTTTTTTTTTTTTTCTTTCTCAAAACCTGTTTTGTTTCTATATTTTTAACAATTTTTGAAATTCCCAATATACCTTTTTAATCTTCAGACCTTTTTAAGTTCGTTACAATTCAGAATTGAGAGTACTGCGTGTCTATGAACTCATTCCGACAAACCCAATGCAACGGTGTAAATCAATTCCCCAAATTCTTTCCCGAACAGAAACTGACTAAAGTGACCCTACTCCCAAGGGAAAAATGGTAATTTCACAATCAAATAATTTAAATAAATTAATAGATTAAATATATGGTTAAAATTGGGTCGGGGTGTCACAAGTTATGCCCTAAATGGTTCTGTATGACATTAATTTTGTAATAAATTATAATGTATGATATTATTTTTTTACTTTCATTATGCGGGTTTTGGACACGACATTTCAATATTAAAAATACTGGAATGCTGCCGCAAAGTTTGCAGTTTGGCAATCGAAACTCAGGGACGCTGCCGCAAAGTTTACTGTTTCTTCTTACCAATGTGGCAGTGGCATTTCTGAAAACTCCTTTGATTGGTACCATGCCCTCAAAATTGTTATATGATAAATCCAAAGATTCTAAAAATTTAAAATCCTCTAAGAACTATGGAATCCTGCCTGAGAAATTGTTGCGAGAGAGATTTAAATCTTCAATACCATTTAGTGAACGTAGAGATGATGAAATTGTCCCTGGAAGAAGTTTCCTTGCATGTTTCGATGTTCTGTTTTTATACATGTTTCGACGTTCCTGTACAGCTATCTATACAGCAAAGTACATTTTAGTCTTCACAAATTTCAGCGCGAAAGAAACTTCGTCGAGCAGAATCCGTCGCGCAAAGATCGTGAAGAACAACTTTGCGTGACAAAGTTTTTTCATTGGTTGCACAAGTTTTGCGTGACGGAAAAATATTGGTCGAGCAAAGTTTTGCGCGACGAAAAATATGGTCGCTCAAAGTTTTGCGCGACAAAAAATATTGGTCCCGCAAAGTCTTAAAAAAAATTAAATAAAAAAATTCCCACGTTCGAATACTAATGTCGCGCAAATATTTGCACGACGAAATATTTTTGTGTTTTAAAATTTTAATTAAAATAAAACTAATTTATAGTTTTGCGCGACAAAATATTTTGTCGCGCAGGTTTTTGACTTTTTGTTTTATTATTTATTAATATTAATTTAATTATATTAATTTATTCAAAATTTTACTTTTAAATTAATTTAATTGAATTATTTTTTTATTTACTCTAATTTAAATTGATATTAATTTAATTATATTAATTTTTCAAATATTTACTTTTAAATTTAATTTAATTGTATGATTTTTTTAATTACTTAATTTAAATTGACATATTCAAAATAAAATTATATATGAAAAATAGTGATCAAATTATCCAATAAATATATATATATATAATATTCAAAATGCACACATAAATTAACAAAGTACAATAATAAAATCCTAATACAAGCCTATTGTGGTGGTAGTGGTGGAGGATATGTTTTGATAGTGTTCTAATCCTCAACTTTAGCCGTCAAAGTCTCGATGATTCCCTACAAAAACAAAACAAAACAAAAAACAAATATGGTCAAATAACAAAAAAGAAAAAAAATTGTCATAATCTCCCCTAAAATTGTTATACCACAAATCCAACCCAAACTCCAATCCTCACCCTATACTCAACCCCAAACCCCACACAAACTCAAAACTAACTCCAAAAACACATATTAATGAAAAAAATTTAAAATTTGGAGAGAATATACGTTTTGGCAAGATTGTGAGTGAGTGAGAATGAGAGGAGAAGTGAGTGTGAGAGAATTGGAGAAGATAGTGAGAGAGAGATTAGAAAGTGAGTGAGAGTAAGAGAGAGTGAAAAGAGAGATGAGAGAGTGAGTGAGAGTGAGAGATAGTGAAGAGAGAGATGAGAGATTAAGTGAGAGGAGTGAGTGTGAGAGAAAGGGTGGGATTTGGGGAGAGGGAAAGAGAGAGGAGAGGTAAGAGTAGAGAAAGACATTGAGAAAATGGTGGAGGAGTTATTTGGGTTTCAAAAACCGTAACTTTGCGTGACGAAAAATATTGTTGATCGCGCAAAGTTTTGTGCTACGAAAAATATGGAAAATTGGTCGGGCAAAGTGTAACACCCCGACTCCAAATTTATTCCTATTTTAATTAAATTAAGAGAATTATTAATTTACTCTTGGGTTAAGGGTAATTTTGGTCATTTTCTTATCCGGAAGGATTTCGGGACCACGAGTGGTTTGGTTGCGTAGGTGGTACTGAGACGAAATCGTAGACAGGCGGTAGGCTTGAATCGGAGATTTAATGAAGTTTTGGCGATCAAAATATGTTCGGTGGCGGAACCGTAATATTTTGATAAGTTTGGAGTAAAATCAGATTTTTCACTTTTACCCCCACACTCTCTCTCTCTCTCCCGCGTACACTCTCTCTCCTCCGTTTCTCTCTCCCCCGATTCTCTCTTTCTCTCTCTTCGATTCTCTCAGTTCCGGCAACGGGAAGAACCGGCACCGGTTCCGTTCGACTCGTCTCGAAGCCCCGATCACAACCCACCCCATTTCCCCGCCGGAAACCTCGAATCCCGACGTCAGTTCCGACTGGTTCAAATCGGATTCTTCACGGCGTTGCGCCGTCGTCTCCGCCGTCCAATTCCGGTGAACTAGGTGAGGTTTCTTCTCCTTTTTACGTGCTCTAGCTGATTGTGGGGTAGGTTTGGATCGATTCTGAGTTTTGGAACCGAATTGGAAACCTAGGTTTTGGCCGGTTTTCAATTTGAAATTCCGGCCAGTTCCCGTGCGAATTGGACCTCGTGGTAGTTGAATAAAGTGATCCTGACCTTGAGAAGAAGCTAGGGTAGGAAGGGTGAGCGTTGGTGTGGAGATTTTCCGTCGCCGGAAATTTCTCTACACACCCACGCGCTGCCGGCGCGTGTGGCGGCGCGTGGGCAAGGCCGTTGAAGTTGCTTTTTATCCTGATGAGATCATTAGGTTGTCACGAGTGCGTAGGATTTTACGGATCTCAATTTGGATGTCGTTTGACTATCGAACGGATTTCGCATATTGTGCGTTATTCGGGTTTGATAAGTTCTAACCGTTGGATCGTTCCCAAACTGAAGTATGTTGATTTAGGTACTCTTAGAATCCTATAGGAATTCGCGGATCGTGAATCGGAGCCCCGGATGTTCCGATTCAATAATTCGAAGTTTGTGGGATTAACGATAACCGTAGGATGGGAAGCGATTCCCAAACCTGTAACCGGACCTTAGGATATCCTATTGGACGTACACGCACCGGGATCTTGGGGATTTAAGTATTTCTCTTTTGTGAAATTCCCGTGTCGAAGTGTATTATATTAATCAAGGGTTCGTATCTCGAAATAGGTACTTCGGTCGATCATTCGCAGCAGGCAGGACCCTCTCGGGGCCGGGCAGCGTGGGATTACCTGTGAGTGGACTTGGTTTTCAAGCATTTGCATGGTTTTATTGATAAAAGATTTGTGCATATATTTTAAATGGAAATGTGATTTATTAAGTATTTGGTTGATGGATTTGGATATTCATATACGTATTGGCAATATATTTTGAGTATGGCTATGTTTGAGCATTATGGATATGTTTATATGGATTGTGGGATGTCTATCTATAATGCCTATGTATGGAGTATGAGGAGTTGTTGTTGTGAGATTGTGGAAAGATATGAGTTTGAGGGATGGTTGTGAGATGTATGAGTATGTTAGGTGAGTACCATTCCCTGGTTACTAGGCTTCCCACACATGGCGTTGGCAGTGCCGGTGTGGTGGGAAGGTCATGAGATTGCTGGTCTCATACATGGCGTTGGCAGTGCCGGTGTATGGGAAGAGTATGTATATTGCTTAGTATCATCACGCATGGCGTTGGCAGTGCCGGTGTGGTGATGATACTGTCTGCGCGCGTAGGACTTGATATGAGATTTGTGAGCTACACGTGGCGTTGGCAGTGCCGGCGTGTGAGCTATGGAGTTCCGTCCCCCGGTTGGACTACTCATCCCTGGACGCGGGTTCATGTTCGAAAATCCTGCGTACCAGCCAACAATCCCCCGGTTGGATTGTCTTCCCCGGTACATTAGTATGGAGAGAAGTATACGTTATATTATAGATATATATATATATGTATACATATGTATGGGTTGGTGAGAGTTGCATACTTTTGGGAATGGAGTTGTGGTTTGAGATTTTTGAGAGTTATTGGACTTTGAGATTTTATATTTGAGTATTTGATTTATTGATGTGGAAACTGCATGCTTGAGCATTATTTTTACACGGTGGGGTTACTATGTTGTTTTAAATGCAAACTTTATTTTGTCCACTCACATATTTCCGTTTTGCGCCCCCCAGGCAGTAGTGGCTTTTGGAAGCGCTCAAGCAAGTTGCGAGCTCCAACTTTTCATCTGTAGATAGGATTCGTGTAAATTCCTTCTACTCTACTGTTGAAAGCATGCTGGCAGTTGAGATTTATATTATGTAAATTATGCAGGTTGAATGTTGTTGGGTTTGAGCATCTTACAGGGGAGACTCTGCCAAAATTTTGGTAGGATGTCTTGGGTTTTTAGTAAGTGGGCCCGGCATCGGTGTGATGTCGGCACCAAAACAGGGTCCGCCCCAGTTTCGGGGGAAATTCCGGGGCGGGTCCTGTCAGCTTGGTATCAGAGCACTAGGTTCATTTTCCTTCGACTTTTGCGCTTTTGCTGCATTGTTGATCCAATGATTTTATGGTTTCTTTGTGTAGAACCATGTCGACTCGTCGACCAAGAACGCGAGGTCGTGGTCAGAGATGGGGGCCAAATCCTCCACCACCATCTCCGTCACCACTTCCTTCGCCACTAGTTCCATCTCCTCCACCATCTCCACCTGCTGGAGAGAATGCCTTGGACTTGCGCCAGGTGCTAAGCCAATTTACGCGCACGATGACTACCGCCTTGCGGGGGAGGCGTGGCACAGAAAGTTCTGAAATCAAAAGGGTAAAGGAACTTGGGGCAAAAGAGTTCATGGGTGGCCCAGACCCAGCAGAGGCTGAGAGTTGGATCTCTGATGTGGAGAGGATTTTTGAGGTGCTGGAGTGCCCAGATGGGGATAGAGTCCGTTTGGCTACCTTTCTGCTTAAGGGGAAGTCTTGTATGCAGACTGGGTGTTCAGAGAATGTTATGTTCAAGTAGATGATGCGTGGTTGGAAGCCGATTTGATTCCCTTAGATTTGGTGGATTTCGATGTTATTTTGGGGATGGATTGGCTAGAGAAGCATCATGCGTCCGTGGATTGTTTCCGGAAGGAAGTGACACTCCAGAGTCCAGGACAACCCAAAGTGATATTCCGGGGAGAACATAGAATCCTCCCTACTTGCCTTATCTCTGCTATTACAACTAAGAGGTTACTCCAGAAAGGGTGTGAAGGATTCTTAGCTCATATCATCGACACTCGAGAGATCACCTTGAATCTGGAAGATATTCCCGTTGTTAGTGAGTTTCCTGATGTCTTTCCAGATGATCTTCCTGGGTTACCTCCTGAAAGGGAAATCGAGTTTACTATTGAACTCCTTCCAGGCACCAATCCTATCTATCTAACTCCTTATAGGATGGCACCATCCGAACTTCGGGAGTTGAAGACTCAGTTGCAGGAATTAGTGGATATGGGTTTCATCCGACCTAGTGTTTCCCCATGGGGTGCACCGGTGTTGTTTGTGAGGAAGAAGGATGGGACCATGAGGTTATGTATTGATTACCGGCAGTTGAATAAGGTGACAGTACGTAACCGGTATCCTTTGCCTCGGATTGATGATTTGTTCGATCAGTTGAAAGATGCCAAGTATTTCTCTAAGATTGATCTGAGATCAGGGTACCATCAATTGAGGATTAGAGAAGAGGATGTTCCTAAGACCGCATTCAGAACGCGGTATGGTCATTATGAATTTCTGGTGATGCCGTTTGGACTGACGAATGCTCCAGCAGCGTTTATGGATCTCATGAACAGAGTGTTCCGACCATACTTGGATCACTTTGTGATTGTGTTCATAGATGATATCTTGGTTTACTCTAAGACTTTGGAAGGGCATAAGAAGCATCTAAGATTGGTATTAAGGACTTTAAGGAGGAAGCAGCTTTATGCCAAATTTAGCAAGTGTCAGTTTTGGCTTGATAGAGTGGTATTCCTTGGACATGTAATCTCAACGGAAGGGATTTATGTGGATCCGCAGAAAGTTGAGGCTATTGTGAATTGGGTGCAACCCACAAGTGTGACGGAAGTACGGAGTTTTCTGGGGTTAGCAGGTTACTATCGTCGATTTGTAGAAGGGTTTCTTCGATAGCAACACCTCTCACGAGGTTGACAAGGAAAGATGTTGCATTTGAGTGGACGGAGGAGTGTGAACAGAGTTTTCAGGAGTTGAAGAAGCGGTTGACCACCGCACCTGTTTTGGCTCTTCCTGATAACTCAGGGGGCTTCGTGATCTACAGTGATGCATCTTTGCAAGGATTGGGATGTGTTTTGATGCAACATGATCGGGTGATTGCTTATGCCTCGAGGCAACTCAAGAAGCATGAGCGGAATTATCCAGTTCATGATTTGGAACTTGCTGCAGTGGTGTTTGCTTTGAAGATTTGGCGGCACTACTTGTATGGTGAGACGTGTCAGATTTTCACTGATCACAAAAGCCTTAAGTATTTCTTTACTCAGAAGGAGCTGAATATGAGACAACGGCGTTGGCTGGAATTGATCAAAGACTATGATTGCACGATTGAGTATCACCCAGGCCGAGCTAATGTGGTTGCAGATGCATTGAGTAGAAAGACCACTGCGAACTTAGCTCACATCAGGACGGCCTATCTTCCGTTGTTAGTGGAACTACGGAAGGATGGAGTAGAAATGGAGATGACTCAACAAGGTGGAATCCTTGCTAGCTTGCATGTGAGACCCATTATGGTGGAGCGGGTAATTGCAGGCCAGTTGGAAGATCCTACACTCTGTAGGATAAGGGGAGAAGTAGAAAATGGAACACGAAAGGATTATGCCATAAGGGGAGACGGAGCCTTGGTAAAAGGAGCTCGTTTATGTGTACCTAGTAAGAATGCTGAATTGAAAAGAGAAATCATGGAGGAAGCTCACTGTTCCACTTACACTATGCATCCGGGTAGCACGAAGATGTATCGGACGCTACGGGCATATTACTCATGGCCGCATATGAAGGGAGACATTGCCAAATATGTGAGTAGATGTTTGATTTGTCAACAAGTGAAGGCGGAGCGACAGAAGCCATCGGGACTCATGCAACCACTTCCGATTCCTGAATGGAAGTGGGAGCGTATTGCCATGGATTTTGTTTTCAAGCTTCCACGTACTTCAAAGGGTCATGATGGAATTTGGGTGATAGTGGATAGACTCACCAAGTCTGCCCATTTTCTACCCATTAAGGAGACCTATCCTTTGACAAGGTTGGCAAAACTTTTTGTGGATGAGATTGTGAGATTGCATGGAGCACCTGTGTCCATCGTATCGGACAGGGATCCTAGGTTCACTTCTCGATTCTGGAGGTGTTTACAAGAAGCTATGGGTACTAGATTGCAGTTTAGTACCGCTTTTCACCCACAAACCGATGGACAATCGGAAAGGACTATCCAGACTCTGGAGGACATGTTGAGGTCCTGTGTGTTACAGTTTAAGGATGCGTGGGATGTTCACCTTGCCTTGGTGGAGTTTGCTTATAATAACAGTTATCATTCGAGTATTGGGATGGCTCCTTATGAGGCGTTGTATGGGAGGCAGTGCAGGACTCCCATTTGTTGGAATGAAGTGGGTGACAAGAAACTGGAAAAAGTGGATAGTATCCGAGCAACAAATGAGAAGGTGAAGATGATAAAGGAGAAGTTGAAAACTGCACAAGACCGACAGAAGAGTTATGCAGATAACAGGTCTAAGGATCTTGAGTTTGCAGTTGGGGATTGGGTGTTCCTGAAATTATCTCCATGGAAGGGTGTGATGAGATTTGGGAAACGTGGGAAGTTAAGCCCTCGGTACATTGGACCTTATGAGATTACGGAGCGAATTGGACCTGTTGCATATAGACTTGCATTACCCCCAGAACTATCTCGAGTACATGATGTGTTTCATGTATCCATGCTCCGGAAATACATGCCAGACCCTTCTCATGTATTAGAATATCAACCTGTGGAGTTAGAAGAAGATTTGTCGTATGAGGAGCAACCAGTACAGATCTTGGATAGGAAAGAACAAAGGTTGCGTTCTAGATCAATCCCGGTAGTGAAAGTTTTGTGGAGAAGCCAAACTGTTGAAGAAGCTACTTGGGAACCCGAAGAGCAAATGCGGGCCAAGTACCCTTATCTCTTCCATTGAAAGGTACGTCAATTTCGGGGACGAAATTTTTATAAGGGGGGTAGATTGTAACACCCCGACTCCAAATTTATTCCTATTTTAATTAAATTAAGAGAATTATTAATTTACTCTTGGGTTAAGGGTAATTTTGGTCATTTTCTTATCCGGAAGGATTTCGGGACCACGAGTGGTTTGGTTGCGTAGGTGGTACTGAGACGAAATCGTAGACAGGCGGTAGGCTTGAATCGGAGATTTAATGAAGTTTTGGCGATCAAAATATGTTCGGTGGCGGAACCGTAAATATTTTGATAAGTTTGGAGTAAAAATCAGATTTTTCACTTTTACCCCCACACTTTCTCTCTCTCCCGCGTACACTCTCTCTCCTCCGTTTCTCTCTCCCCGATTCTCTCTTTCTCTCTCTTCGATTCTCTCAGTTCCGGCAACGGGAAGAGCCGGCACCGGTTCCGTTCGACTCGTCTCGAAGCCCCGATCACAACCCACCCCATTTCCCCGCCGGAAACCTCGAATCCCGACGTCAGTTCCGACTGGTTCAAACCGGATTCTTCACGGCGTTGCGCCGTCGTCTCCGCCGTCCAATTCCGGTGAACTAGGTGAGGTTTCTTCTCCTTTTTACGTGCTCTAGCTGATTGTGGGGTAGGTTTGGATCGATTTTGAGTTTTGGAACCGAATTGGAAACCTAGGTTTTGGCCGGTTTTCAATTTGAAATTCCGGCCAGTTCCCGTGCGAATTGGACCTCGTGGTAGTTGAATAAAGTGATCCTGACCTTGAGAAGAAGCTAGGGTAGGAAGGGTGAGCGTTGGTGTGGAGATTTTCCGTCGCCGGAAATTTCTCTACACACCCACGCGCTGCCGGCGCGTGTGGCGGCGCGTGGGCAAGGCCGTTGAAGTTGCTTTTTATCCTGATGAGATCATTAGGTTGTCACGAGTGCGTAGGATTTTACGGATCTCAATTTGGATGTCGTTTGACTATCGAACGGATTTCGCATATTGTGCGTTATTCGGGTTCGATAAGTTCTAACCGTTGGATCGTTCCCAAACTGAAGTATGTTGATTTAGGTACTCTTAGAATCCTATAGGAATTCGCGGATCGTGAATCGGAGCCCCGGATGTTCCGATTCAATAATTCGAAGTTTGTGGGATTAACGATAACCGTAGGATGGGAAGCGATTCCCAAACCTGTAACCGGACCTTAGGATATCCTATTGGACGTACACGCACCGGGATCTTGGGGATTTAAGTATTTCTCTTTTGTGAAATTCCCGTGTCGAAGTGTATTATATTAATCAAGGGTTCGTATCTCGAAATAGGTACTTCGGTCGATCATTCGCAGCAGGCAGGACCCTCTCGGGGCTGGGCAGCGTGGGATTACCTGTGAGTGGACTTGGTTTTCAAGCATTTGCATGGTTTTATTGATAAAAGATTTGTGCATATATTTTAAATGGAAATGTGATTTATTAAGTATTTGGTTGATGGATTTGGATATTCATATACGTATTGGCAATATATTTTGAGTATGGCTATGTTTGAGCATTATGGATATGTTTATATGGATTGTGGGATGTCTATCTATATTGCCTATGTATGGAGTATGAGGAGTTGTTGTTGTGAGATTGTGGAAAGATATGAGTTTGAGGGATGGTTGTGAGATGTATGAGTATGTTAGGTGAGTACCATTCCCTGGTTACTAGGCTTCCCACACATGGCGTTGGCAGTGCCGGTGTGGTGGGAAGGTCATGAGATTGCTGGTCTCATACATGGCGTTGGCAGTGCCGGTGTATGGGAAGAGTATGTATATTGCTTAGTATCATCACGCATGGCGTTGGCAGTGCCGGTGTGGTGATGATAATGTCTGCGCGCGTAGGACTTGATATGAGATTTGTGAGCTACACGTGGCGTTGGCAGTGCCGGCGTGTGAGCTATGGAGTTCCGTCCCCCGGTTGGACTACTCATCCCTGGACGCGGGTTCATGTTCGAAAATCCTGCGTACCAGCCAACAATCCCCCGGTTGGATTGTCTTCCCCGGTACATTAGTATGGAGAGAAGTATACGTTATATTATAGATATATATATATATATACTTATATATGTATACATATGTATGGGTTGGTGAGAGTTGCATACTTTTGGGAATGGAGTTGTGGTTTGAGATTTTTGAGAGTTATTGGACTTTGAGATTTTATATTTGAGTATTTGATTTATGGATGTGGAAACTGCATGCTTGAGCATTATTTTTACACGGTGGGGTTACTATGTTGTTTTAAATGCAAACTTTATTTTGTCCACTCACATATTTCCGTTTTGCGCCCCCCAGGCAGTAGTGGCTTTTGGAAGCGCTCAAGCAAGTTGCGAGCTCCAACTTTTCATCTGTAGATAGGATTCGTGTAAATTCCTTCTACTCTACTGTTGTTGTAATCAAATTCTGTTAGATGCTCTGTTATCGCCCATGTTAGGTTGTTACTTGAGGCCGGAGGCCACTTTACTTTGGATTGTTGTATGTTGAAAGCATGCTGGCAGTTGGGATTTATATTATGTAAATTATGCAGGTTGAATGTTGTTGGGTTTGAGCATCTTACAGGGGAGACTCTGCCAAAATTTTGGTAGGATGTCTTGGGTTTTTAGTAAGTGGGCCCGGCATCGGTGTGATGTCGGCACAAAACGGGGTCCGCCCCGGTTTAGGGGAAATTCCGGGGCGGGTCCTGTCAGCTTGGTGTGTCAATTTGTGGCCCAAACCCTACTATGGCACACATAGCTTCCACACACAAATTCCCGGAGCAACGGAGTACCCACTCTTCTTCTTTTCTAACTAAAAAAAATTTAGACACCTCAATGAACACCAATTAAAAAAGTTTAGCTGCCAGGAGAGAGAGTGGAAGGAGAGATGAGAAATGGGAAGAGGGAGGAGCGAGAGAGGGCTCGGGAGACGGGTAGGGATGGCAATATACCGCGGGTAGGGTCCCTGGCATAAGGGGGGGGTTTTTGAGGGAAATCGGGGCCGGGACGGGCATGTCCCCGAATTTGCAAAATCCCCGACTGGGGATGGGCAGTGCGCAGCACAAGCAACAAAGGTTTCAAACGAAAACCTGGAGTAACAAGAACTCTGGAATCCACCAGAAATTAAGTGGAATTCTCTGGGCTAATTTATTTAGATATGAGATGGTGAAAAAACGTTTCACCCAAGCTCTCGGTCATACCATCTCTCAACTCTTGCCTAGGGGAGTTTTACATTAAAACTGAAAAACAGAATTTATTCCCAAAATGACTACGAACCTTGGAATGCATTTTGGAAGGCCAAAGACACTCAGAATTCCAAACCATATATGTCCAACCAAAAGCCGAACACAAACCAGAAAAAAGAAGCTTTATAAAGAAATCAAGTTCCCGACCAAGGAACTCACCATTTCCAACAAAACCAACATAAAATGCATATAGAAGCCCTTACGTATTTGGGCGTCTTTTCCCCACCCGAACGAATTTGTATCCAGTATCAGCACGAGTGAATCTCAAAATCTCCAAATCCCAAAATCAAACCCGAAACACAAACTCCCAAATTCGAACTCCAAAACTAACATGAAATTACACACTAACACCAAGTCAGAGACTCGCAAACTACTAGCTACGCATCGACCAATCAGCAATCGCATAGATCCCGTCCCTCAATTGGTTATGCGGGAAGGAAATGAGAGTGGGTTCTCAACAATGGACGTGATTTGGAGGGATTTGGTTTGAGCGATACGGGTTTGTTCAAAAAGTGCATATCTACCTTCAAAACCAATCACGTGGGTCATCGCGGCGGTGATCGAAGGGACAGGAACTCTGTACGAAATGACGATTTGGTACAATATAAAAAGTTTAAGGACGTTTGAATTGAAAATTTTAGTTGACAGACCAAAATGATAATCGAGAGATAGTTGGGGGACCATTTAGGTCATTAACCCACTTGTATTTTATAAATAAGAGGGGTGTGTGTGAATTTTTTTTTTTTGGGTTTGGATTTTTAAAAATGGGCATACCAAAAGATTTTTGGGACAATCTGTGTTTTGATTTAAAATATTTGATCAAAATAGGATAGGACCTTACTTACTAAGCAAAGATAGATACTCAAAGCGACCCGTGCACGTATACAAAAAGACTCCGAGCAGCGAAAGAGATAAATTCCCATCGCGCCTACAAGTGTGCCTCCGGCGAAATTGAAATCGAAATATCTTCTTCTTCCTCCTTGCGTCTGTTTATGCAACTCAACCTCTTCGTCTTCTTACCTTTCCTTGCATTCTCATCCTTCGCAGAAGAATCAAATCCCTCTCCCAACTCCAAAACATGGCCACTCCGCGGAGCCACGAATCCATGCCCTTCCCCGAACGCTCGAAACCCGCACACCTCGCGGCTTCGCTCCCTCTGACGACGAGATCACGTGGTGCTGGACCTCGCTCCATCGACATCGGGCCATCGATGCCGGAAAGATGAAGCTTACAAAGCCAAAGTCTGCGTGAAGCCATGGATGGCTTTAAGGAAGTGCAGGAGTTCTCAGCACGCTGTGAGTGCGAGAAATTGATTTGCTGATATTCTAAGATCAACCAACATTCCAATTCTTCTTTTCCTCATCCTTGAATTTAGCAGTATTGTGTGTTGGGCTGAGATATGCATGAACATAGAATGCACTCAAGTAGCTATTAGAACTGGCTTTTCAAAATCTGACGCGGAACAGAAGTATGAGAAAAACACATGAAGGTAAACCTCTGTTTAATCCTTTTATCTTAAACGACAAGGCCATGGATTGTGACCTTAAACCTGTTAAAGTTTGTATAAAAATTCAATTCCTCTTGTCCTGCATTGAAAGATTGTAGTTTTAGGGACTAAATGTCCAGAATTGAATTCATTTCCAGAACAAATATTTGCCCTCAATTCTACATTCATTTAAATCTATGTGATCCGAACTTGCACATGTGAGTCTGCATGAAAGTATAAATCATTGTTACATCTTTGTAAACAAAAATATAAAGATAT